CAGAAGTTTCAAAAAATAGTAGCTTACTTCAACTAACGCCGTTCTTGGACAATTATGGTGTTATGAGAATGTCTGGTAGAGGAATTGATCAAAATAAAAAAGTAATTTTACCTAAAGACAACGGATATACAAGATTATTGGTAGAGCAATATCACAGAGAAGCTGGTAATAAATCGTCTTAGAGAAGATTTTTGGATCCCAAAAATTCGTGTGCTATTACGAGGAGTAGTTAATAGATGTCAATTCTGCAAAAATAAGAAAATTATAGCTAAACCTCCTTTAATGGGAGATTTACCAAAGGAACGAATTGAACCGAAAGTGGCTGCATTTACACATACAGGTGTTGATTACTTTGGTCCGATGGACGTCACAATTGGAAGAAGACATGAAAAGCGGTTTACCTGTTTAAATGTAAGAGCGGTACATGTTGTATTGGCGCATACACTAACCACGGATTCAACAATTATGGCAATTCGAAGATTTATGGCGCGAAGAGGGGTGCCTATGTGGTCGTACAATGGAACAAACTTTACTGGAGCACAACGTGAAATGAAAGAAGCAATATCGGTGTTGGATGCAAAGAAGATAAACGAACGATTTGCCCACAAAGGAATGACCTGGAAATTTATTCCACCAGCATCTCCTCATATGGGGGGAGTTTGGGAAAGAATGGTGCGTTCAATTAAAACTGCATTAGCCGCGACTTTGAAGGAAAAGGCTCTAAGGCCAGAAGTTTGTTTTACTTGTAGAGGCTGAAAATTTAGTAAACTCAAGACCAATTACAATTGTGTCCACCAATTATGAAGACGATGAAGCTTTAACACCAAATAATTTTTTGATAGGAAAAGCTGCTTTATGACAGATTCCTTTAGAAAAGTCAGAGTTCTGTCCAAGAAACCAGTGGAAATTATCTCAGGTTTTAGCAGATCAATTTTGGAATCGTTGGATAAAAGAATATCTTCCCACTTTGTCTCCTCGTAAAAAATGGTGCGTACGGACAAAACCTATCAGCGTTGGAGATGTGGCTGTTATAGTTGACGACAAATTGCCGCGAAATACTTGGCTAAAAGGAATTGTAGAGGAAGTTTTTCCCGGAAAGGATGGGCAAGTTCAGTCGGTCAGGATTTGGACAGGAAATGGTTCGTACCATCGCCCTGCAACCAAGATTGGTGTATTTGACTTGAAAGGAGTGTAAACACTGGGGGGAGAAATGTTACAGACAGATTTAATACGTACAATAGTGGGCGATGTTGTAACTAAGAAAAATTAGTATTCAATAAAATATACAAAAAATAACAGGCAGACATTTTCTACAAATTAAATTAAAAGAAAACACTTTGGTTTTCAAATAAACATTTTGGTCCTTCGAGCCGGATCTACTAGTTCTGTGGTAGATTATTCGTAGAAAATGTCTGAAGAAGAACAAAGACTTGAAAAAAGAAAACAGAAAAAACCCACATATCTTAACGACTACGTTATTACGGGAAATAAGAAAACGGAACAGAAAATATCAAAATCTACATCGATCGTGTTAAAAGAAAACACTTTGGTTTTCAAATAAACAATCGGTATCATTGAATAGACATAAAAAAAAATGTCAAATGTCAAAATTTTTTGATAGATAAAATTTTTTAAACATTTTTTTCATGTTCGTGGTATCGAGTATATTCTATGCTGGTATCTTACCTTACTTAAAATTTTCTCTGGGGCGCGAGTCTGGCGCAGCTTGTATTCATAGAGTTTTTGTGCTTTCCTACGTCTCTTGAACCCCCAAGAGTGATTTTTGTCGAAATTTTGGTCGATTTTCGGTATCCGAAGCGGTTTAAATTAAAATATCTTTGAAACGGTCCATTTTAGGGATATTAAAGGTTATGCGTTTTTTAATCGAAATTGATTACTCTATCGATTTGGGCAATAAAAAATCGGTGTTAAGAGAGCAAAAAAATTGAAAAACACAGCAATTGTGACCTGCAACTGCTGGAACCGAAAATTGAGTGGATGTATTCGGTTTTCGTGATTACCAGTTTAAAGGGTATGTTGTCACAGGGAAATGTTCCAAATTTTATAATATTTAGTCAAATAGTTCCAAAGTTATTACAAAAAAAACAAATTTCCATATCCACATTCCGAGGGCTGTAAAATTCTTATCAGTAGAGATAGGACACGAGTTATTATTTAAATTAAGATCATTTTATAGGTCATTTTTGAGGTTCAGATATTGCTTCATATTTATGAATAACCCTGTATATTATTACATTCTGTACGAATACGTTTTTTCAGCTCTTCTAAATTTTGCATTGGAACATTAGTATAAATTATTATTTTTAAATACCCCTAAAGAAAAAAATCTTTAGGTGTCAAGTCTGGCGATCGTGGGAGCTATGCGAAGGGACTATATCTCCCGATTCACTTTGGTGTACATGGTATCGTAAATGGTATTAACTTTTTAAAGCTGCGCTTTAAGTTTCAAAACTGACACTTTCAAACTTGACACAAAATTTTAGTTTTGAATATTTTAACATCTAGTACCTTTTATAAGCTTGAAATGTTGGTCGCCTACCTATGAAATTGACCCGGTTTTTTTAACTTCTGCAGGGCTATGTACAGTTGGAGACAAAATACTTTGGTAGTCAATGTCACTTGAGTGACATTAAATTGTAAAGCATGCTTTAGGACTGTTAACCTTATTTTTAGCTACTGTCAATCATAGTTCACAAGTTGTATTTTTGATAGGAAAATATAATAGCTGTCATTAATTTGAAATTGTTATTCATTTTGACGTTAAAGCTTGAATTACATTAAAGTGTCAGAAAAGTGACGACCAAAGTATTTTGTCTCCAACTGTATACTAATAAAAAAATGTCTGTATTTAATTTAGCAGTTAGTGATATTGTGTGGCACTGTTGGTTGCAGCAAAAAAAAATTTCAGAATGATAAAAAATTAAATTTGCTTTCCAACCGTATTAAACAAAAAGAACTAGCGTCCACAATTCTAAAGTTATTAGCAATAAACCGCTTCGAATACCAAAAGTCGACCAAAATTTCGACAAAAATCACTCTTGGGGGTTCAAGAGACGTAGGAAAGTATAAAAACTCTATGAATACAAGCTGCGCCAGACTCGCGCCCCAGAGAAAATTTTAAGTAAGGTAAGATACCAGGAACATGAAAAAAATGTTAATTTTTTTTTATCTGTCAACAATTTTTGACATTTGACATTTTTTTATGTCTATTCAATGGTACCGATGATCTTGTATATGTTTTTTTACAATTATTTAGTAAAGGTACAAAAATTTTGTCAATAAAAGCCACAAATAACGTTGAGCAGAGTTACAATTTAGGATACAGCTTCCTTGTTTCCTCTTTTAATAGCCTATAGCAAAAAAAAATTGGAAAAGTATTTTTCCAACAGAAATAAATAGAGTCAAAGTGCAAACTTTAAACTCTCATTACTTCAAAATTTTTATAGATAAAATTTTTTAAACATTTTTTGCATGTTCCTGGTATCTTACCTTATATGGCATTTTTCTCTGAGGCGCGAGTTCTGGCGTATCCTGTATATTGAATTAAAACATTGAGAATGTCGAGTGGCGTGGTGGCTCAGCGGCATAAGATCCCGCTTTCCAGAGGGTAGTTCCGGGCCTCAAACTCCGCAAAAGTCAGCAATTTTTCACTAATTCAAATTCAAATGCAATTTAAATAAATGTCAAAAGATGGTGGGTGCATAAGAGCGCAAACTTTAAAATATGTGCACATGTTCTAATAAGTATGATAAGAAAGAGAGAGAGCATAAGAGCAAATAAGAATGCAAAACATAATAACAAAGAGACAGAGCATAAGAACAAATAAGTTAACAAAGCATACATAAGGGAAATCGCACAAAACAAAAAAATAAGCACTAAAAGATGTCGAGCGTAAAAGAGCGCAAACTTTGAAACTGTATCTAAAAGTGTATAAATAGTGTAAAATAGTTAATAAGTGTAAAGGTCTTATAAAGAAAAGGTAAGTTTTGAAATAAAAATAAAAGAATATAGGTAGTTATTTATTGTAAGAGTGTGTTAGGTAGCGTTTTATCCACGCAAGAATGTTTAACTGCGAGAACGTTAGTTCGAGCGGTTAATTTCCTTAAGTGGATAACACACGACTGCAATATAACGTTTTATCCACAATCACTGGCTCAAATTATTCCAAACTTAATTAAAAATTAAACTGACATTTAAACGTCACGCCAAATGTGCTTTCAGTTAAACGTAGTACGCTGTTACGCGGTGCGCTGGTTACTAACAGTGGAATAAAGTTACTTTATTCCACTAATGGATAAAATGGAACTTGATACGCATCTAAAGTGTGGAATAAAGTCTCTTTATTCTTCGACACTGTCAAAATTTACGGTTTTTCTCCCGTGTAAGGAAGTTTTGACAACTGTTTGGCATTTTTCAATACGAAACGTCAGATTATTTTTAACAGATTTAAAGCAAGTTTAAGCCTTGTTGAGTTTAATTCGAAGAATAAAATGTTGTATTCAACTCGTTTGAATGTAAATCGGACGCTTTATTCCACCTCGTGGATGATAAACCACTCGTTACACTCGTGGTTTAATAACCCACTCGGTGAAATATTCCGTCCGAATTACACTCAAACTCGTCGAATAAATAACTATTATAGAGTGATTGTGGATAAAAAAAATATTATTTATTAGAATCGGTGTTAAAATTGGTTCATCGTGTCTCATGAATTTTATTTTTCTGAGCTGGCAACACTAGACGATCTTCTAAACACATTCTTTTTCAGTAATGAAACTGAAATGTCAATTTAGATTGCAGCTTTTAGTTAAATGCCTTATTTTTCGATTTTTGCAACTCTAATTTTTAAGAAACAATGCAAAAACTCTTCTTTTTAATTGGGTAAATAAGTAGAAAGTTAATTTAAAACCTAGAAAGTACAAAAATGTTGATCTTTATTCAAGCGATGCTAAAATTACTACATGTTTTATAGAAATAGATAAATATATAATTTTATGGTATGTAATTATCATCGTTCATCGCAAATGTTTTATTTACAAGAATAATGTTGATTGCTTTCATGGTCATTTTAATTTGTTTGAACCTTGGTATGACGTGCATCTATCTATCTCCAAAAGATTGTGAGGTTAGTGGGCTTGGTATTTTTTATTTGTGTATTATTAAAAAAGTCACTTTATTATTGTAATAGTAAAAAATATAAAAGTGATTATGTAGTATAAGAATTTTCGGTTTATGGTATTTTTACCACAATTCTGACAACTACGACGTAACGCATTTTTTAACCAAAAAAATAAATATATTATTATTTTATTTATTTTCTACAAGCAACCAGTAATACAACAGAAAGCGAAAGTTTGACTTTTGCTTTCATATTTTTGCAAAACCAACACTAGAATTACAAAGTGGTCACAAAAAGAGAAAAATAAAAATTAGGTACTGCGTTCTGTTTTCAAGCGTGGTTTTATTTTGGGACATCTGTAGATGAAAAAGTCGTAATTTATAGGGACAATGACCGTGGTTTAAAAATGTTGAATAAAAAAATAATTTAAATAATTTAAGTTCTCTGATTATTTATTATTATTGTTTTTTAAATTTAAACAAACAGTACAAAAAAAAAATAATTTTTGAATTAACTAAAAAGTTTTTTGCATTTATTGTTCTACAACTAATTTAAAGAAGACATTCTAGTTTTAGCACTACCATTAGGAACTTTAATAATAAAAATTTGAAATAAATTATTGTTATATTTTTTTGTTTTTTCTCTTTTTTACTACAGAAATGTATTTAAATCTATACGTATGAAATCAAAAAATTACGAAAAAATAGTCCAATGACGGATAATATTTTTTTAATGGAATTTGATTTTTAATTAGAAAATATCCATGAGGTATTTTGTTTCTTATTCTACAGTGTTAAAAAAAGATTGTAAAATATTTAAGGAGGTAATAGTACCTATGGACCAAAATAAACAAAAAAGTCTTAATAAATATGGGTTCGCAAAGTAACAGCTTCGGAGATATCGAATGTGAGATATTTTAGAATTTTCATTTGAAGCTTCTCTTTTTTGTTTAAACAGATTGCAAATAAATGTTTCAAAAAACGAATAACTTTTGATATCTCCGAAATTGTTACTTTGCAGACCCAAGTTTATTACGACTTTTTGTTTGTTTTGGTCCATACTTTTATCTTTTTTTAACACCCTGTATAAATCATACATAATTATCAATTTTATTATTGCACGTTGGATATTTAGAAAAAAGAATCACACATTTTTGAAACAGAAAACATTTTAAATTAAATACAAAAAGCAAAAGTAATCTTAATTTCAGTTCAAAACCACAGAATGTCTTTCAAACTGATCGACGTAGACAAAGAATACGAAAAAGACGATTGTCTTAAACGCGAAGACGTAAAAATCCTCTCCGAATGGCTAGAAAATCAGCCCCATTTGCCCAAAGCCACCGAACTCCAACTCATCCTCTTCCTCCAGAGTTGCTACTACAAAATCGAGGTTGCAAAAAACGCCATTGAAAAGTTTTTTACAATTCGAACTCGATGTCCCGACATTTTCGCAGTTCTACCAATCGAAATATTGAAACGAGAACTATCCGTCTGGTGAGTTTGATATACAGCATGTTTGCGAAAAATTGCATTAATTTAACAAAATTTTTTGTACGAATAGTTCGATGGTTTTTCTTCCTGAGAAAACTCCCGATGGTTGTATTGTTGTTATAACAAAAATGATAGATACAAGACCTGAACACTACAATTGTGTGACCCAAATAACTTGTATGGATATGGTACTGATGTTGTATATGCACCAGAATGGGACTTGTAACGGAATTGTGTCAATTTCGGATTTACAAGGTCTCAGTTTTGGTCATATGAGAAGATTTAATTTAGGCGCAGTTAGAAAACATTTGGTTTACATTCAAGTAAGTAGGTATAAGTTTTTAGTAAATTTTTGCAAAATGTAAAATTCAGGAAGCCATCCCTGTACGAATCAAAGGGTTACACCATGTCAATTTGGTCCCATTTACCGACAAAATGATGGCAATAATGAAACCCTTCATGAAAAAGGAACTAACCGATTTGGTAACAATTTAAAAGTTGGCAACAATGACGATTTTGAAACTTGATTTTAGCTCTATTTCCACAATTCTCTGGATGCGTTATATAAACACGTACCGAAGCAAATTTTACCAAAGGAATATGGCGGTGATGCCCTTTCGCTTGAAATATTGCAGGGTAAGGTTTAAACTGAGAAGTACATCGGTAGAAAGAGACAAACTACGCACACAAATGGGAAAATATCATTCTCTCTTTTTCTACCCATGTAATTTTATTTTCTGAAAATGGATAATTTTTAACGTTTGTTTCAGAACAAAACGTGAAAAATGTTTTGGAAAATATGGACTTTTTCAATTGGTTGGATACACTTAAAGTCGATGAGACGAAACGGCCTGAAAAAACAAAAAATTCCGATTGTCAACTAATATGAATTTTAAGGCTACAAGAAAAAATAAACGATAACATACTTCATACTTGTTTATTTAGAGACTCTTTAAAAAAAACTGAGAATAAACATAATCTAATGGCGATTAACAGTGATGATGAGACACCTTGTAGACCTAATCTAATATACCTACAATTCACACATTCATGTAAAAAGTAGACAATTTGTTATTGTTTGTATGCAAAAAATTATGAATTTATAAAACTTATTTCTGACACAATCATGAAAACATGAATATTCGTTTAACGATTAAATTAAATTAATTAAAATTCGAAACTATTAGAAGCTCTAGTATGAATATTTTAATTAAATCAAGCAAAATTTTTAATAACAAAAAATAAATTTTGACACTGTAATAGCTATTTATGTATCAAGTACGCAAAATAGGGTTTTAGGGGACCATGGAGATAGTACTAATATTCCATTACGAATCGTAATTAATGACGAGTCGACGTAGGAGACGAGTCTTTAATGAGAGCAGTCACCTAAAACCATTTGCGTACGTGGTATATACAATTTTTTTTTGTTAAAACACGAATTCACACCTCTTACTAATTAAAAAAAATTTCATTACCATAGTAACCAATTTTATTTTTTAGTCCGCAAAAACTGTTTTTGGCGACTGAATACCTAAAATAACCTTTTGCGTACTATTTTATTGAGTCCGAAAAAGACTCATTTTGGGGACTCAAATGAGTCCGCAAAATAGCTATTTTTGCGAGTGTAAAAAAAATCCCGCCTTTTTGATATGCAAAATGACCGATCAAATATTTTTACAAAAAGCCCTTACTTTTTCGTTTTTCATGAAATAATACGCTCTATTAGTGTGACGTCAGCAAAGTACGTGACTGTACCTTTGAAGCTAAACAAATAAAAGTTTATTTCTTGAATCCTGGACGTGTAGGGAGATTGTTTCTAAGGAAATAGTTGCTATGATAAATGTGTGTCGTTTCGTAATGGTTTTAACAATTGTAGTCAACATTTCTGTAATTTAATCTGTTCTAACCTCACTTTCTGTGTACGTCAAAAATATGTGTACAGCATTGCCAGAATGTTGCAAACGACAGGAGTGGATAAGTCGTACCAAAACAAAACAAAATAAAAAATATTAACATTCACCTAATGTGTATTTGGCTGAGAATATAAATTATTATTGGTTTACAAGTAAATATAAATAGCTTCAGTACAGTCGCGTCTGTGACATCACCTCTAATAGCCCGTATTCAAATTTATTGTTCAGTGTGTTTATTTACGTGTTGCATAAATTCTCTCCCACCTACCCCCAGGGTTACGTTAAGGTCACACGTTTTTGTAGGTTAAATTATAAAAGCTCGACATTACCCAAATTTGCATTTTCAAAATGCCACACTTTCGCTTAGAGACAAATGTGCCCCAAAGCAATATCCCGGCTGATTTTCCGCAGAAATTGTGCCAAATCATCTCGAAATCGTTATCAAAACCGATCAATGTAAGTTTGAGGTTATGTCAACTTTTTGTTATTATTTTTTTTTAGTATTGTGTGGCGACTGTGATTGGAGGTGTTAACATGTCTTGGGGAGGCACAACTGAACCCGCGGCTCAAGCCACTTTAATGAGTATTGGGGCACTGGGTGTGGAACCAAATAAAAAACATGCTAAAGCGTTGTATGAAATTATTGAGAAAGAACTTGGAGTTAAAAAGGATCGGTAAATGAGATTTTTTAGTTTATTTTTTTTAATTATGTGTCTTTAGGATGTACATTCACTTTGTGAATGCACCAACCAGCGATGTGGGGTACAACGGGTCCACTTTCCACGACATCTTTGGCAATTAAGTTGAATGATGGTGTTTTATGTTTTATTCCAATTAAAAAAAATATTACAATTTTCTACTGATTATTATTAATAAAACATATTAACTATAATTAACTCAAAGAACTAAGCTTAGACTAAGAGTAAGTCAGAAACAAAAATACGGGGAAGATTCTAAATTCTTAATAACTGAAGGACTTTTGACTCTATACTGAATAGTTCGAGTTGAATATGTACATTATGAATATCCTTACAAACTAAGCCTTTACTCGGCTTTATTTTCGTCATTAGTGGGCGAATGCCATGTCAAGCGCTCCTCATAGAACCTAATAACAACTTGGGGGCACTTTATATTCGCTTGTTTCGCCGGCACTAAATCCGCCTCATCCGTCCCCTCCCACTTCATCAAAAACATCAACTGGCCTGAACTATCCGTAGCTCCAATTATTTTTTCCGGCTCTAAACCTCTCTCAAACCCATGAACTTTCTTTTCTTCAGTCTTCCTCTTCGCCGCTTTTAAATCTGGCGTAGGTGTGCTGTTTGTTTTGCGTTTCTTGCTCCTCTCCTTCTCTTTGTTCGCCCTCTCGGCCTCAAAAGCTGCAATCAAGCCGGGACAATCCAGATTCTCCTCAGGCTCCCATGTGTTGTCCTTGTCATCATAACCAATCCATTTTAAGTAGTATTCTTTCACTCCCGACGTATTTATTCGACTGTCGATGATTTTTTCCACGACGTACTCCTCGGGGGCTGTATCGTCGTCAGGGGACGGACTAGTCCTCTTGCTTTTGCTCATTTTTGCTGATTGACGGGGCTGCAAAAAACCGACATTCACGCAACTAAACAAACAAGGGGGCGACTCACTACTTAATTTGATTCGCTTTTCGGAAGAATTCAGTGCAAAAAATGAAAATAATTGTCCAAAAGCCGCAAAACAGACGCTTCTTTCAGAAATTTCAAACAAACATGGCGTCTGTCGCGCTCGGTCGGTAAGCCGGTAACACACGCATTACAGGTTTCGACATTGCTTTGACAGTGTAATGACAAAAATTTGGTCAATTCTGGTGTGTCATATGACGCTAAATGACCCAAGCCGCCCCCAACCCCCAACGTCTCACCACAAGTTATTGAACTTAATCACCCCGCCGGTAAAACCCAATTACAGATTCCGACATTGTTTTGACAGTTGACAGTGTTGACACAAAAATTTTCTTGGAAGTTAAATACAAAATGCCTTCGGACGCCGCCCCCGGGTCGCAGCGTCTCACCAACGATGATTTCCGCAAGTTGCTTATGACCCCGCGTTCGGCCCCTGCGAATGCACCAGCACCGGGGTCAATCCGGGAGGCAATGGCCAATTCCTCGTCAATGCCGCCCCCCAAAGAGGACAAGAACGAAGCCCGACGCAAGAAGAAGAGTTACTACGCGAAGTTGAAGAAACAAGAAGACAATAAAATGGCAGAACTGGCGGAGAAGTACCGAGATAGGGCTAGTGAGCGGCGACAGGGGGTCAATCCTGATTATCAAAGCGACGATCCTGTGGCCACAGCTCAAGCATATCGAGCAGTCGCGCCTGATTTAAAATCCGGTTTTGATGCGGCAGAGCGTCGCAGACAAATGATCCAAGAATCCAAGTTTCTGGGGGGCGACATGGAACACACCCATTTGGTCAAAGGGTTGGATTATGCTTTATTACAAAAAGTGAGGAGTGAAATACAACATATAGAAGCAGAGCAAGAACAAGAGATGGAGAGACTGGCTGCCAAAACTGAAGAAAAAGAGAAGAAAGAAGTCCAAAAGAAGGACGAAGATGAGCTCAAGTTCAAAACAAAGATTGGGAAATCGATCTATCACACGATTTGTGCCCTCAAGAGTCGACATATTGAGAAATCTGAGATTTTTGTACCCGGACGTATGGCCTACGTTATAGATTTGGGTTAATTCAGTTTATTATTTTTTTTTTTCGAAAATAATTGATTTATTTTAGATGATGAAGCCGAGTCGGACATCCCAACCACTCTGATTCGTTCAATCGCCGATGTCCCGTCATTTGAACTCACCACAACTCTCACCACCAACGACATTGTCATCAATAAGTTGACTCAGATTTTGAGTTATTTGCGTCAAGGCAATCGAAAGAATAAAAAAACCAAACGGGGACTCCCAGAGAGAGGCGAAAGCGAACAAACTGACGAACCGGAGGTTAAAAAACCGACAAAACGGCCAACTGACGATTCCATTTACGGCGATATTGGAGATTATGTTCCGACGAGGGGTGGTAAACATGGGGGCTCCTCGCGTGACCACACCAAACACACATACTTTGATAAACAAGAAGAAGTGGTTGAAAATAGTGGACCGACGTTTAAAGTCAGTAAATCGGCTCAAATTCTCAATAAGTTGGCTCAGGAACCTGAGGGTTATGCTGAGTGTTATCCCGGATTGGAGGAAATGAATGATGCAATTGATGATTCCGATGATGAGGTTGATTATTCGAAGATGGATTTAGGGAACAAGAAAGGGCCCATTGGGCGCTGGGACTTTGACACAGCTGAGGAGTATTCGGATTATATGAATCAGAAGGAGGCTTTACCCAAAGCGGCGTTTCAATACGGTCTTAAAATGGCAGATGGGCGAAGGTCCAGGAAACATAAGGATAAGAACGAAAAGGCCCATTTGGACAGGGAGTGGCAGAAAATTCAGAGTATTATTAAGAAGAAATAATTCAATTTTGTTGTCTCATGTACATATTTAGTAAATAAAATTAAACCAATATGTAGTTTTTTTATATTAATCAATTTTAAGACCAATTTTTTGACGTTTCTATTTAGCGATTTTTTGTTGGCAACACTTACTTTACCACTTGATTTTTTGACATTGACCAATTCTTAGCCATTTTCTAGTTACGTTTGTGTCGGAAAATTTAAGGATTTACATAAGTAAGGCGCAACTGCCGCCAAATGTTCAATTAAAAAAAAAAATTTAGGGATTTTTTCCTTTGTTGCCAATACTTGCTTTTCTCACACACCCGTTTATCAAAATATTTGTCTTTATTTATAATAGTTACTTAAAACAAATATCAAGTTTCATTCAATGTATCGCGTTTTCCGTTGGTTTTCATAACCCCTTTTTTTGCACACGTAATTTAGGCAACCGTAAAATCAACTAATATAAATTAAAATACAAGTAACTTACTTTCATTGTCGATTAGAGATCAACCACGGGCCTTTCTTTGGAGTTTTTCTGTTTAAAACAGTTTAATTTGGACTTGCAGAAACAACAAACAATAATACCACCCTGAGCGTCACAATCATGACCAACCACAAAACAAAAAAACTCTAAATTTTGACAGTTGACGCCATTTTGTGGTTACGTTCGTGTCGGAACAAAAATCTGTTAAGTGAAAAAAGGAGTTAAAGAAGTAAGTTTCACGCATTTTTTATATGTTTTATTGCAAAAATGTGATTCTAAGTGTAATTGTGTTGTTTCAAATTGTAATTTTGGGGTATTTCGTGCTTAAACATGAACCACATGGAGAGGGCGTAATTCGTAACATTCTGCAAGTTTAGGGATTATCTCTACATTTCAACATTATTTTAAACGAAAAACGTACACTTGTTGATTGGTTGCTACTAAATTGGTGTCGTTATTATTTTTTGTTTATAAAAAGTGAGGTTATGTGGTTTTTCAGGTGAAAATGAGTCGTTTCTTCGCCGGTTCGGACTCAGATTCGGACAGCTCGTCCGAGGAGGAGCCAATTCAACGTGCCCCAGCCCCGGTTTTTACCGTAAGTGAGCCCCCACACTCTTCTTTTTTAACCCCCTTGTTCCCAGTTCAGCGACGATGAGGAGGAAGTCAAACGCGTCGTTCGCTCGGCCAAGGAGAAACGTTATGAGGAGCTCACGAATATTATTAAACAAATCCGAAATTACAAGAAAATCAAGGACATGAGTAGCATGTTGACCAGTTTTGAGGACTTGCAAAAGGCCTATGTGAAAGCCCTCCCCGTGATTGCAAAAGAAGAATCCGGCCAAACGCCCCGTTTCTTCACGCGTTGTTTGGTCGAAATGGAGGATTTTATTAATGAAATGTGGGAGGATCGAGACGGGCGTAAAAACATGAGCAAAAATAACAGCAAGTCGCTTGCGTCAATGCGCCAGAAATTGAGGAAGTACATTAAGGATTTTGAGGAGGATATTGCCAAGTTTAGGGAAAACCCCGACCAGCCTGATGATGAAGAAGAAGAAGAGAAACGTAATTTTGCCAGTTTTTACGACAAAATTGTTAATTTTCGATTTTAGATGAACCAGAACCGGACACTCAAACCGAAGCTCCAACTAAATCTATCCCCAAAATTTCGAAGCAAATTGTGGATGATGAAGGGTCGTCAGATTCGGACGATTGGCCCTCAGATAGCGACTCCAGTTCGGATAGTTTTGATGAAGATGAAGGGAAAACGACAATGAGGGAGCGTTTCTTGAAAAAAACTGGGCCAGCACATGAAGATGATGAAGAACGCGAAAGGAGAAAAGAGGAACGAAGGAAGGAACGGAAGGAGAAGGAGAGACGCAAAGTGAAGATGCAAGATGAGGAGGATGGCGAGGGCGAGTGGGAGTTTGTCAAGGGGGGCATCGCCATCCCAAGCGTAAGTAAAATTTATAAAAATAAACTTCAATTTCGGTTGCTTCTTCTGTTTTTAATTTTTTGTCATGTATGACACCTGAAATCGTTTAAAACTAAAATGTTGCAAGCTAAAGACACTTATAAAATAAAAACAAAATGCTAAAAACGTTCAAGATGAGAACAATAAACAAATAAAGCTAAATCTACAAAAAATAAAAATTAAGAATAACAATGCACCGCTAAAAACGGAAATTGTAAAACCCGTGTATGAGTAAAACGGGTCTAAACTAAATGATAAAATAGTAATCTACTATGTCGGTAAAACTTTAATTCAGATGTTGCCACCGTAGTATAATACCGAAATTTTGAAATACCGATTTTCATAATACCGAAATCACAAACTTTTTATTTTTTTAGTCATTTTGTTCTAATGCAACAAGACTGATTTTACCTTAGCAAATATCTTGAGGAAGTAAGTGAAAGCCCCATTTAATGTCTTTTCTAACTTTCTAAGTCGAAGGAAGTTTGAAATGGCGTAATCTAACCTCAAAATATTCAAAAGTGAATAAAAATAAAACCAAGAAATCCGCATATATTCTATATTGTTATATTATACAGGGTGTATCAGAACTCACGTCCCAGAGAAAAATTTCAAGTAAGATAAGATACCAGGCACATGGAAAAAATGTTTAAAAAATTGTGTCAAAAAAATTTGATATTTATTTTTTGACAAGTGCAAAACTTCGAAATTTTTATAGATAGAATTTTTTCACATTTTTTTCATGTTCCTGGTTTCTTACCTGGGACGCGAGTTCTGGGGCACCTGTATATCATGTGTTTATTAAAAAAAAACTTTTTTTTAGGAAATACATCAATTTTTTATTTCTTTGTTTGATCCAATGCCATCTCTATCATAGTAGCATAACTAATATTGGCAGGAAATTTATATGTCTAATTATTAATTTTTTTTATTATAATTAAAGTTACTTTGATTTTTATATTACAATTTTAAAATAAAAAATGGAAATTTTAAAGTAAATTGAAATATTTAAATATAATAATTTTAATGTTAATAATATCTAACACTATATTATATTTAAACATATAGCCCATTTTTGTTTTTTAATATTTTCTGATAAATCTGTATAAATATTTATTCCATCTCGTTTTTTTGTCTGTTTTTAAATTTATTTGGATGTATGGTATTTCATAAAATGCAGCGTGTTGAGAATGATTTTCATCTAGTCGTCTATACAATTTCTTTACATGTAATTTTTTCCGTGCCACTCTACTTTTTTTAAATTATCTAACTAATTCTGTTAACAGTGACGGCTGTCAATTGAAATAAATTAACATTTGAGGTTAATTAGATTCAATATTTTTTATAGCGCCATTTTTTATTTTGCATGGAAATTCCAAAGACAACTAGATGAAAATCATTTTAAAACACTGTGTGTATTTAGCGTTTTAAGTGGTTTATTTTACTTTTATTTATCTTGACTCTTAAGGAAACCACTGATCAAGAAACTAGATTATTCATTAAAAATAACTTGTTTTTTTTTAGTTAGGTTGCTTTTATAGTTATTTATTCTACGAGTTTGAGTGTAAATCGGACGCATTATTTTCGAGTGGATTTTTAAATCACGAGTGTAATTATCCACGAGGTGGAATAAAGCGTCCGATTTACATTCAAACGAGTTGAATACAACATTTTATTCTTCGAATTAAACTCAACAAGGCTTAAACTTGCTTTAAATCTGTTAAAAATAATCTGACGTTTTATATTGAGAAATGACAAACAGTTGTCAAAACTTCCTTACATGGGAGAAAAACCGTAAATTTTGTCGAAGAATAAAATTATAAATGATTGTGACTTTTTACCTCAAGTTGGTGTCAAATTTTAAATTTTAGTTTAGCAACCTTAACATTCAAATTCAAATGTCAAACTTTTATAGACAATGGACATTCATTTACCACGGGCGACTGCTGTTTTAACCGTCACGTAAAACATTCTGATATAACAAAGCAATAATACAGTGTTGCCAATGGTTTTTTTTTGTCACTAACATTAATAGTTATTCGGTATTATTTATTTTTAACGGAATCAAAATCGAAAAATGTAGGTAAAGCATTGCTATATTAGAACAAAATAGTTAAAAATTATAAACAAACATAAATTTTGTGATTTTGGTATGGTTTGGCATTATACAAGCTTGGAATTACAAAACTTAAGTGATATCGATATGTGGATTACTATTTTATTATCCTAGTTTTGACCGGTTTTTTTTACTCGTGCACGGTTATACTTATGAAAGATTTCAGGGATATGTAACGTTGCAACGTTCTGTTTTCTAATACTTTTTTTTATTAATCTATTTTATTTGTTTACTATTTTGATGCAGAACGGTTTTAGTAGTGAACAGTTTTGGTGTTGCACTTTTTTTAATTTACAATTTTCAATGTGCAGGAGAAGCCGAAGATGTTCGCCAAAGACGCCGAAATCGATCTAAACCTCGTTATAAAAAAACTCTCCGAGATAATGGCGGCACGTGGTAAAAAACGCACCGATCGTCGCGAACAAATCGAACTCCTTCACGAACTCCAAAACGTCTCCGACCAACACCAACTCGGCCCCGCCATCTATGTCAAAATCAAATTCGCTATAATTTCGGCAATTTTCGATTATAATCCGAAAGTCTCCGATGCAATGAAACCCGAATACTGGATGAAACTCCTCGAACGCATGTCGGAAATGCTCGACCTCCTCCTCGGCAATCCTCAACTCTTCGTCTCCGAATCGGTAACAGAAGAAACTGAGAATTTAGAAGAACCACCGTATAAAATCCGTGGGTGTGTTTTAACCTCAGTCGAGCGACTTGATGACGAATTCACTAAACTACTAAAAGAGTGTGACCCACACAGTAACGAGTATGTGGAGCGTTTGAAAGACGAGGCAAAAGTCTCAGAGATAATCGATAAAACGATGAAATATCTCGAACAGACAAATGCCCCATCTGAGCTTTGTCGCATTTATTTACGCAAAATCGAGCATTTGTATTACAAATTTGATCCGAGGGTTTTACAACAAAAAGCCGGGGAAATCCCGAAAGATTTATACACGTCGGTACAAGAGATGGAAAAATTGTGTAAATTTATTTATGCAAAGGATGGTACTGATCGGTTACGCACTCGTGCAATTTTGTCCCATATTTACCACCACGCACTTCACGATAATTGGTTCCAAGCACGTGATTTGGTTCTCATGTCACACTTACAGGAAACTATCCATCATTCCGATCCCAGTACCCAGATTTTGTATAATCGAACCATGGCCCATCTGGGTTTGTGTGCATTCCGACATGCTAATATCAAAGACGCCCATAATTGTCTCGTTGATTTGATGATGACGGGGAAACCCAAGGAGCTCCTCGCACAAGGGTTGCTTCCCCAGAGACAACACGAACGTAGTAAAGAACAAGAAAAGATTGAGAAACAACGTCAAATGCCCTTCCATATGCACATCAATTTAGAATTATTGGAATGTGTCTATTTGGTCTCAGCTATGTTGATTGAAATCCCATACATGGCGGCGCACGAATTCGACGCTCGCCGTCGCATGATTTCGAAGACTTTCTACCAACAGTTGAGGAGTTCTGAGAGGCAGAGTCTTGTGGGGCCCCCTGAGAGTATGCGTGAGCATGTTGTCGCCGCAGCTAAAGCCATGCGTAATGGTAATTGGTCGGCTTGCAATACGTTTATTATCAATGAGAAAATGAACGCAAAAGTTTGGGATTTGTTTTATCAAGCCGATTCGGTGAGGGCAATGTTGACTCGTTTGATTAAAGAAGAGTCTTTGCGTACTTATCTCTTCACGTATTCGCATGTTTATGATTCGATTTCGATGGCGACGTTGGCACAAATGTTCGAATTGGAGAAGGCAGTCGTACATTCGATTATCTCCAAAATGATAATCAATGAAGAGTTGATGGCGTCGTTGGATGATCCGACACAGACTGTGGTGATGCATAGAAGTGAACCGTCACGTTTGCAATCATTAGCGTTGCAATTGGCTGATAAGATTAATAATTTTGTTGATTCGAATGAGAGGATTTTGGAGACAAAACAAGGGAATTTCTTTTCAAGAGGGATGAATCAAGTGAGTGAATTAGGGGGTTGGAGGATACGAGGTGGTGATTTTGGTTTGTTTTAGGGCAACTTCCGTGGGGATAGGCAGAATTATAGGGGGACTAATCAGGATTGGAGTCGGCAAAGGAGAGATCACAGGAAGGAGTATTAGCATGTCAGGTTTTGAACTTTTTTATTTGAGACCAATAAAAACACATAAGAGGATTTTTTATTTACTCTCCTTAGAGCAGACATTTACTTAAAACACATAAAACGAAAAAGTACAACAAATGAAATAATAACGGCATTGGTGGTTGCCTAACCTACAGGCGTTTATCGGGAGAAAAAAAACATTAAAACGCAAATATGAATCAATTTTCTTTAAACATTTGTTGTATTAATTGAATGAAATAATTAACCAAATGCGTCTAAGACATTAATTAAAATTCTGTAGTATAATGTGTTGCGTATTCACTAAAATTTTAATTCATGGCCAACCGATTAAAATGTTTTTGTATTTTTGGTTCTCTAATACCAGGCGCATTTAAGAAAAAAAATCGCTTAATATGAAAATTGTTTTATTATTACTGCCAATTTACGTTAAGCTAAGCACTTGTCAGATTAATTTGATCAAATAGTTGGCCAAATGTAAAGTTTAATTAAACACATGAAAGAAATGGTAAAATAACATTAAAAAAGGAAAATAGAACAACAAAAGTTAAAAGAGAATTTTTTCCAGTCACTAACATATTCAGCAAATCTTTCTAAAAAAGAAATTTACAAATATTTTTTTGTAATTTCACATTTTTAATGTTAAGTATTGTTCAATTTTTCTCGAATTTGACTTTTTTTTTTTCTCTTCGCTGGTCAGAATTTTCTCTGATTCAAAATTATTTGATTTTTTTTTCTAATTAATCTTTTTTTTTTAACTCACTCATTAATATGATTTTAATAAAACACTGAAAATAAAAATTAAGTAGAATAAATTCCAGTTTGGAGCAACATTTTCTTCCATTTATAAATTGGTCAAAATTAAAAAATGTGAAAAAAACTGAAGATAAAAACAGGGAAACGGTAAAACAAAATAAACTAACAAGAACAAAGTGCCGAAATTTGATAAATTAAAAAAAATTGAAGGTTAGGATGTTAACTAATAGTTATTTATTGTAAGAGTGTGTTAGGTAGCGTTTTATCCACGCAAGAATGTTTAAGTGGATAAAACGCGACTAACACACGACTGCAATATAACGTTTTATTCACAATCACAGGCCCAAATTATTCCAAACTTAATTAAAAATTAAAGTGGTTAAACGAAGTAAGCTGTTACGCGGTGCGCTGGTTACTAACAGTGGAATAAAGTTACTTTATTTCACTAGTGGATAAAGTGGTACTTTATACGCATCTAAAGTGTGGAATAAAGTCTCTTTATAGAGTGATTGTTGGATAATAATATTTTATTGAGATATTTATCACTTTTCATAATTTTCAATTTTATTTTTTTTCGAATATTTTTCATGAGTTTTTTTGTTATTTTTTTAATTTTGTTTACACTAAGATTGCAAAAATAGAACAAGGGGATCAAAACCAAAAATAACAAGAAAAGAAATTTTATCCACGACTATTGTATAATGTACCCATTATAGGTCTGTTTGCTCGATCTTAATAATACCCATTAATCACACTAATGAGACATTAATCACTCTCTTTAATCACTGCTGTCAGAAGCTTCCTTGATTTAGCTATAATATTATATTGTTTTGCTACAATTATTGGTTTTTAAAATTTTATCGTGTAAACCACTAATTCAGTTCTGTACATATAAAAAAAAAAAAATTTCCTTGACCAGATTCGAATCCGGGACTCGCGGTTGGAAGGCAACCAGCATCGACACAGCGCCATTACCAACATTGAATGTGTGTGTCGGATATCTGTTTCTTAACATACTTAATGTAAGAAAATTTTCCAACACAAAAGCTTCAACAAAAATATTTAGTAGTCGTGGATAAAGTATAGTATACTACTCGCGTATAATGGTTATTATACGCTCGTTGTATAATATACTATTAAGTCACAAGTTAAATAACTAAATTATTTTAAAAAAACGTATTTCTAAGAAATTTATCACTTGTAACCTTCCCTCATGTTTATTTGAGTTACTGGGGACCTGAGTGCTTGAATTTCTCCTTATCACTGTTCAAAGGTTTCTCAAATACATATATACAAATGTTAACTTAATTAAAAACAATAGATAACTCTTCATTCACTTTATCACGATTTCTTGAAATAAATGGAGAAAATATTCAACAATATTAAAATAAAACAAGAAATTCTCTCAAATATCAACAATTGTTTTATTTTTGTACAGATGTCTTGACACAAAACAGGAAAAAACTTACTCAATTTTCTTGCGCACGACCTTAACTCTATTATTAGATAAAAGAAATGAGATTTTCGACGCTTTTTGAAATGGAAATTTACGAAAATTCTCTCACTGTTTATTGTGCAGAATTTAATTTATTACTACTCATTTATTATTGATGACAATTTTCGAGACATTTGCATAAAATTGAATGATTACGTTAGAATAATTCATTAAGTTAAATAATCAACACAGCAAATTTTTGTTAGACATTATAATAATTAAAATGTACAGACAGCAAATTAAGTTGGTGTTAAAGTGCTTTAATCTTATCTTTTCTAACTTAAGTCTCTCTCAAAGTCTGGATTCATTATTTGAGAAATAAACCAGACAGTAGACATGCGATTTCTCGCGTTGTGTTTATCTGTGTTGGCCTTTTCAAAGGTGAGTGAGCTGTAAAAAATCACGTGTTGAAAATTACCAATTTTAGGCCTCAAAATGGGAAAATGTGACCATTGCAGTGGTGGAATACCAACCAGTAGCCAACATTTCAACAAATACAAAACATTACATCGAAATTTTAAGAAATATAACACAAAATCTAGATTTGATCGTATTTCCTGAAGACACACTTAGGTCAAATCGTGAGACAGCCGTAGAATTTCAATTATCACAAACCCCATGCGATTCTGACACTTTCCCTCAATTTTTCCACGATCTTTCATGCGCTGCTCGTGTATCACATACTTATCTCGCTTTAAATCTCGTCGAAAAAGTGAAATGCAACACAAGTGCACCAAACCCGAGCGAAAATTGCAAAAAATTTGGATTTTATTATTACAATACTGACGTGGTTTTTGACCGCAATGGAAGTATTATCAGCCGGTAAGCAAATCGTGTTTTAGTTTCAAAAATCACACACTTTTTCAGTTACCACAAATACAATCTTTTTGGTGAGTATGACAGAGACAAGCCTGAAACGCCTGAAGAAATTATTACCGAGACTGATTTCGGTTTAAAACTGGGGATTTTTACTTGTTTCGATATTTTATTCAAAGCCCCGGCTCAGGAATTATTAAAACACGGAATCGATGCTGTGATTTACCCCACGATGTGGTTCTCGGAGTTGCCATTTTTGACCGGTGATTTGCAATCAAATTTGGAATTATTTAATTGAGGTTGTAGCAATGCAGGCGCAACAAATGTGGTCCCACGGCCATAATATCACTCTTTTGGCTGCGGGGGCTAACAGCCCCCTTGAGGGAAGTGGCGGAAGTGGGGTTTATCGCGGTGGTAAAGGTTTGGTTGTTGGGGGAGTAGTAGCAGAGGGTGGGACCCAAACTTTTGTTTATCAAAATGATAAAAAACAAGCTTCGGATGTGGACGAGTTGGGTCGAAAAATGGACGGTTTTTATCTACAAACTGATGAAAGTGTTTTAGGTGATTGTTGTGTTAATTTTTTTTTTTTTTTCTAATTGAACTTTTTAGATTACATGTCGAGTGCTTTTGACCCTCATGTTCAATCCTCAAACACAACTATTTGTTATAAGGAGGTTTTCTGTTGTATGTTTCAGATTAAGTCAACTTTGGGTGAGGTAAAGCCCAATTTGGACTTTTACACGTATCACCTCGTGGCCTACTCCGGGTTTCGCTCATATTCCGGTGTGAGAAATGCCACAATTGAAGTTTGCGGAATAATTGCGTGTTTGAATTCTTCTTTGTCTTCTTGTGGTCAAAGATTTGCACATTATGATCAGATTCAGTGGCCTGTGACGTTTGAAAAAATTACTATTACAGCAAAATTTGAGAACAATGAAAATCACACTCAATTTCCTAATTCACTTTTGAGCTCGATTCGTCCGATTGATACTAGTGAGACAGCTTGGAGTGGATCAGAGGTCACCGAAAATGGCAAAAATTTAATCGAGAGGAAATTTTCGATTACTAAACCACAAAATAGATTGTTGACTTTTGCTATTTGGGGAAGAAACTTTGAAGATCACGATGATGATAAAAACTCAAGTGGGGTCTTATCACCGGTTTGGGCTTCATTGTGTGCTTCTCTGTTCGTCATATATAAATTAAAATAACAATGATGTGATTAAAACTATAATTATAATGAAAAGAAACAAGCATTTATCTAATTATTTCACTCATTTAATCTAACATTTTATTATTACTGTAATAATCCCGTTTTATTACTACCAGTTTTGGTTTAAATAAACTTAATAGAATGAGATCAAGAATGAGTAAATCTGTTGGTGATCCTGACTTTAATTTTTAAAGGAAATCACCGGAGTATGCTTCTGATTAACAATCTTGAAGGGTTGTAAAGTCTGTTTTTTTTTTTTTAAATGGAAATTACCAAGTCAAAATTTTGGTGAAAAAATTGGTAGCAGCTTGTCTACATAGTCACAAATTTTGTTTGCTCTTTGTTTTTGTCCCTAGATATTTTGTTAAAAAAATATGGATCTGTTCAAATTGAGATGTCAAAATTTTGATTTTTATGAATCTTGTGTGCCTGCTTGCTCTTTGAAAGCATCATTACTTAAGGTCAAGACAGAATTCAGTGCTAATAATTTTGATAGAAACACACCGCAAGTAAGTACAATGTTGTGGACAAAAATGAGATTCTTTCTATAAAAACTTTGAGGAAAAAGGATGTATATACAGAAAAAAGTTATTTAGCAAAAGATACAAGTAGGTATTATGATAATTGGCAATGAATTTTATGTAATTGATTGAAATGAGCTCAAAGTTGATGCATTTTATAAATTCTTCTTCAGCTTTAGTTTGAAAATTGTTACTTTTTCAACTCGTTCCTCAAAAACGATGCACAAGACACTAATTTAATTGCGTTCTTTCTGAGGTTTTTTCTCATTCATGTTTATTTTGTATTCTTGTCAATTTCAGGCTAAACATTGAGAATGTTTAACAAACCTGCATTACGTCTACATTTGCGTCTACATTTTAACGGGCCCTTTTTCTAACTTCCTGCTTGCGAACTATTCGTTTCCAAATTTCGAAAAACTGTTAGCGGTACCGAATTTGTTTCTTTTTTGGTGTTTCGTCTCTAAATTTTCTTAGACGATTTTTTGTGTTGACGTTTAATGACATTGTTTTCAAATTAATTCAAAAAACCGGAACTGCCAACTTCCTTTATTAAAATTACCATGAATGAATTTATTAGTGATGCCAACGTTGTCTGTTTGGCATTTTCATTAAAAAAAAAACAGACTTTGTGTCAAGTATTTGTCGAGCAAAACGGTATCTGGTTGCAGTGTGACAAATTATTAACAAAAATACTTTCAAATATGTTGCCAACTTAAACAGTCTTTAATGATCACGCTGTATTATTAATGCAACATTGGTTGCGTACCCATTTACAAATACGGATTACTACTGTGTATTAATAGAAATTTTGCTGTATTTGCAAATCTAATAAACTTTTAGTTTTGGGTAAAGATTAATTAAAATTATTGATTGTAATATTGGTTGCCTACTAAGCGCTTGCAGTTTAGCCAACCGTTTGAAACGTACACAAAAGTCAAGTATGGCGCATTGGGGCACAACTTCAGAATCGGGAATTTTGCGCAAAAACAAGCCGAAAGAGAACCACGACGACCTTTTAGTGTTCGGTTATGCTTGTAAGTTGTTTCGGGACGATGAAAAGGCCTCTTATATTGATAAAGGCCACCATTTGATTCCCTGGATGGGAGATGAAGCTCTCAAAATTGATAGGTTAGTTTCTCTTTTGGATGATTTTGAAATGATTTCATTTCTCGTAGATATGACTGTCGGGGTGCGTTGTCGGATATATCACCCTACGAAGCGAGCCGCGAGGGTTTTGACGCTATGCGATGGTTGGGTTTGAGCGACTCTGAGCGGAAACTTGAACAGTTGTGTGATAAAGAAAGGTACTACTCCTTACATATCAATGAAGAAGAGGAACAAATGTACAAAGAGGAGGAAGAAAAACGACAGAAAGCGAACGAATTTCAATATAGTTACGATGTTCCACAAAATCCGGCTCAAGAGAGTGCCCCCACGGTCCCAGAGGCTGAAGAAGAGGACGAGGAGTACGTCCCATCTCCACATTTAGACGTACCAGTTGATATCGCGATTGTAAGTTGTGGGAAAAACACCACACGTTTCACTATTTGCGTTTCTTTAGCCCAAAACAGTGAAGGAGAATATTCGGATTGAGAAAACGGCGCTTTTTGTGTGCAAACAAGGACCCCAAATGGAAATCCTTATCAAGGCCAAACAAGCCGATAATCCTCAATTTGGATTTCTCAACCAGGGACACAATTTGTACAAGTATTATCGGCACGTGTTGGCGGCTATCAAGAGTGGCCGCTATCAAGTCACTTCCACTACTAAAAAAGGTCAGTTTATAATATTTACCCAATTTTTTTATTCCACAATTAAAGTGGCGTATGACTGAAATTAATTTGGCAACACTGCTTAATTTGTGAGTGTGGTGTATGCGAGGCCAGATATTCGCACCAGTGTATTGTGTGTTGCATACACAACAGGGGAAGTTTAATTAATTTTCATTCATCAGCAACAAAATCAATTTAAAACGAATACAATTTTTAAGAAGGGTAAAGAAACTTTAAAATGACTATATTTATTGGCAATAGACCACTCCGGGTGCCAAAAATCGACCAAAATCTCCACAAGAATAAAAAAATTTCCAACTTCAAAATTGAACCATTTCACGTTTTTTTTTACATTTCTAGAGGTCCTAGAGACTCAAAAAAGTGCAAAAAACATTATTGGGTCTGTTTTATGAAAGTATTATGAAATTTGTGTTTTCAGAGGAAAAGCGTGAAGAGCCTCCGGAAACAAGTTCAACAACAGACGATCACTATCTTCACCCAAGCTTAATATCGACATCCAGCCAACCGGTAGGTTTCTCCGGTTCTAAATCCGCTTATTTTGTGATAATTAATTGTATAATTAGTAAAAAAAATAAAAGCTTTGATAATAAAATATCTTAGTTTTAATGTTGTGAACAACTAATGACGTTTTTTTCTGTTTGCAGGTACTAAGGTGATAATTCGTGTGTGTCGAAAAGTTAACGACTGATTTAAAAAAGTTGTCTTTGGAACACTTTTAGGGTCATTTTTGATTTTTGATAGAGATTGATTTTTTATTTAAAACACCAACCGATAAAATAGAAAAATAACATTTCATTCTTTGACAGGATGTACAAACTGCAATACCGACAATACCGTACAAGCCTTCGGCCAATTGTTCCTATTCACAATTGGTCAACAGAATCCAGGGAAACACCCAATCGGAAAGCGCGAAACCGCCCGAAATGACATACGACCAACAGCAGTACTATCAGTATTACTACGCGGCTCAGTACTACGAATACTACAAGCAGATGGCGCAGTACCAGCAAGGCAACGGACAAGGTATGCAATACCACTAGTAGAAAAAATATTTATATAACTCTTTTAGCAAACATTCAGCCCCCGGAGACCCCCTTGGACCCCACTATGCAAACCTACATCCAACAGATGGCGTACGCCCAATACATGCAACACCAATCATCAAACACGAATCCTTACGCCCAAATCGTCTCAAATGTGAGCAAAGAAATGTCAAATCCATACCCGACGGAACCGGAAGTCGTCGAGGCGCCCAAAAGTACGCTCGGTTTGCTCGCACAGTACGGCTCCGATTCGGAACCGGAAGAGGACGAGGACGTGGCGAAAACACCAACAGGGGAAGTACAAGTCGTGATCGACAAAATGGCGACTTACGTGGCCAAAAATGGCGTACAGTTTGAGGAGATTGTCAAGGCGAAGGGGGATCCCCGATTCGAGTTTCTTAACGAAAGCCACGAATTTTACAAGTATTACAAGAACAAAATTAAGAGTATTACGGAGGGTGGTGATGGGGGCACCCCACCCAAACCAAAAGAAAAAAAAGTTATAGGTTTGTTTCAATTGATTTTTTTAACTAAATTACAAAGTTTAATTTTAGCACCTGTGTGTTTTTCCATCAAAAAACCCAAAGACGATGCTCCGAAAGAAATAAAAAGTGCGCTTCCGGTTGAAGAAAGCGACGAGGAGGAGAAGCCCCCTGAAATACCTGATCCAGTCACCAAAGAGGGAGAAACGTCAAATGACACGACGGAGTCTAGTCACAAGAACGGTGTCTTTGACGGGGAAGACCCCATTTTGGAAATGATCGATCTTACTGACGATATCGAGGAGCGAAAAGACGCAAAACGAGGTGATTCCCCCGTTAAAAAATAAACTGCTTATGGCAAATCAATTGCTACTGATAGGCAATTAAGTATTCAATGTTATAAAATAAAATATGCTTTTTGAATATTAAAAAAATGCTAAAATGTTTTAGCCTCAGGTTAGGGGAGTTTATCTATTGAACTTTGGGTTGGTAGCAAGACAGGCAAACAAATTATCTATTATTGATGAAATTAATCGTAAAATTATGGCAGTTGATAGATATGAGAATTCCTTTAACGGCTTCCAACGCAGCAGTTAAGTTTTGTTGGAGATTGAGCCACTAAAGCAGTTGAAGTTTGAATATGAAATTCATATTGACATATTTAGGGATAAATTGAATACCAACATGATTCTGTAACTAGACTAATAATATTAAATATCTTTTTTTCAGCCGAGGACAAAATCAAAGACAAGTTGGCCGCCGCCGCCCGTGAGAAAATGGTCTCAGTGGCTCGAGACCGTGCCTTGCAACTCGAACGTAAGAAAAAAGCCGCTGCTTTCCTCAAATTAAAATCGGCCGAAAGTGAAGACAAAACAAGCAAAAAGGACGTAGTCCAAATTGACGATTCAGGCGACGATGATGAGCACAGGAAGCGGAGCCCCAAAAAGAAGAAATCACACAAACGGAAACATTCAAAGAGCAAACACAAAAAATCGAAAAAGAGAAAACGAAGATCAGAATCGTGCAGTTCGACCAATTCCTCATGATCCTGTAGTACAAACTTGTAAATATACGATTTTTTAGTTTATTTAAGCCTAAAATGATTTATTTACACTTAAATTATTATCGATCGATTTCGCCAAAGACCACGTCCAAGGTACCAATAATGGCAACAATGTCGGCCAACATGTGATTTTTGCCGACTTTTTCTAAAGCGGCTAAATGTGCGAAACCTGGAGCTTTGATTTTACACCGGTAGGGCTTTGAACCGCCATCGGAGACCAAATAAACACCGAATTCGCCTTTGGGGGCTTCAATCGCCGTGTAGGTGGCACCTGGGGGCACTTGGTACCCTTGCGTAAACAACTTGAAGTGGTGAATCAGGGCTTCCATGGACGTCTGTAACAAATAATTTAACAAAGTGAAAAAATTGTACCAACAAAAAACTACTGCTTAGGATTTAGGGGTATAATAGCCCAGTCAAATTAGACAAAAATAGGGTGGACAAAAATCCTAGAGAGTTGGAATTTTTTTAAACGCTTGCTTTATTCTTGGGTAGACATATATCAAAAGTCTCCGAAGGTGGAGGGCGAGTTCGAGGAGGGGGAGGGGGCTAAAAGTGTTTTTTTTTTGTTTTTTTGCTTATATCTCGGAAACTATAACTCCTAACGGTTTTTGCCTGCTTACCAAAATTAAAGCCTACAAAATTTCCTACAAAAATGGTCCTTTGCATTTTTGTTGTAGGACTAACTGTAAGCGAGTTATAGGGCTGACAAAAAACATCATTTAAAAAAATGTGCTTTATCCGCATTTAAAACAGAATTAATCTTGTGATTTGAAAAAACTGACAGCAAATTGATTTTATTGGGTGCAACACTTCATTAGAGAGTCTATAAAGTCTTCCGAGTCGTCCTTATATGCTGCATCTTCGTCTTCAACTTAAACATTGAAAACCGAATTACAGTCTTGTTCAGTACAATATTAATAAATAGATAATTTAATATTGATGATTTAAATAAAGCTTACAGTAAATTGAATGTATTGGATCCAACAGTTTATTAGAGGGTGCCACGAGGGTCTATCAAGTCTTCCAAGTCATCCTTATATGCTGAACTAGCATTTGCCTGCGACTTTATCCGCGTGTATTTCTGATATAAAATGGGAAAAGGCCCGTTCACAAAACCATTCCATAGGCTTAGGTACTCTATAAAGCTAGATAATTACCTATGTTATGTATAGGACTCAGTTATAGTATAGTTTCGTTCTTCGCATGGGCTATGTTTATGGATAAATATTAAATGTTGATTTTCATAAAGTGTCATCTCAGTGCACTTCTTCACTCTCAAAATTCGAAATTTCATGTTTCATGTTTCTAATTTTGTTTTTAAGCGTTTAAACTCTATTTTATTACATTAAAATTTGAAAAGTGCACTTCTACACTCTCTAAGGATCATATTTTCTAAATTTAATGTTTTTATATCCCTTTAAATGTGTACACCGTTTTATTCCCTTAAAAACTAATTTTAGAAAAATCTAATTTTAGTGCCCCTTTATACCTCTAAAGAATTTTATGTTTATATTTTTGTTTAAACATTTACAGCCAATTTAATCCCTTTACAGATTGATTCTCTCATTCATCCAAAATTTTTATTTATATCTCCGTTTAAATGTTTACACCCGAGTCATCTTTCAGGCAAACCAGCTTAGTTGAGGAACGCTCTACACATATAAATACTTATATACTAATGAAATGTGTTTCAAAGGATTTTTAATGCAATTTTATGTAGACTCCAAACTTTTGAAGCCTACGCTTAGTCCTACGACAAAAATGAATAGGACCATTTTTGTAGGAAATTTTGATGCAGAAATAGACATCTACAGAAAATTCTGCATAAATTACAGAAACGATAAGTTTGTATTTATAAACCCTCGTGACTCCCCCTTCCTTTAATGAAGTATTGGACCCAGTAAATTCAATTTACTGTCAGTTTTTTTTTTTTAATTACAAGACTAATTCCGTTTTAAATGCAGATAAAGCACATTTTTTTAAATGATGTTTTTTGTCTGCCCTATAACTCGCTTACGGTTAGTCCTACAACAAAAATGCAAAGGACCATTTTTGTAGGAAAGCTTTAATTTTGATAAGAAGATAAAAACCTATAGGTGTGATAATTTCCGAGATATAAGCTTCCCCCTCCTCGAGCTCACCCCCCACCTTCGGGGACTTTTGATATATGTCTACCCAAGTGTAAAGAAAGCGTTTAAAAAAAGTTCCAACTCTCTAGGATTTTTTTCCACCGATTTGTCTAATTTGATTGAGCTAGTATTCGTGACTAGGTTGTCCCTAACAAGTGTTAATAATTTAGGTTTAGTCATCTGTCAGCGTGACAGTTGAAAGAATACGTCAACTGTCAATAACAGTTAACTGAAAATTCTAGTTAGTAATTTTCCTAAAAGTTCGAATCCTAGGTGGTAATTTCTTGTAAATACATCTGTAACAAAAACACAAACCTTCATTTCAGCCCGACTTGGAGGTGTCAATTTCGCATCGTCTGTCTTTACCTCCCCGGGAGGCATTTTATTAAGACACTGATCGATGATTCTCAGCGACTGTCTCATTTCCTCTATCCGACACAGGTATCTATCATAACAATCCCCTTTCACCCCAATGGGGACATCAAAATCGACCAAATCATAAGCGTCATAGGGCTGCACTTTGCGCAAATCCCATTTAATCCCAGAGCCTCGTAACATGACTCCACTGAAACCATAATTGAGGGCATCCTCGGCTGAGACAATCCCAATGTCTTGTGTTCTTTGCACCCAAATCCGATTCGTGGTGAGGACATCCTCGACTTCGTCAAGTCTTTCACTGAATTTCGACGCAAATTCGTAAATATCATCCATGAGACCTAATGGTAGGTCCAGGGAGACGCCCCCTGGTCGGATATACGCCGCATGCATGCGCGCCCCCGAGACTCTCTCATAAAATTCCATCATTTTCTCACGCTCTTCAAACAGCCAGAAGAAGGGGGTTAGGGCCCCCACGTCCAAGGCGTGAGTCCCCACAGCCATGATGTGGTTCAAAATTCGTGTTATTTCCGCAAATAGTGCTACAAAATTGAGTTACAACAAGACTGGTACAGAAATGGGGCTCACTTCTGATGTATTTAGCTCGCAGGGGGACGTCAATGTTGAGGAGTTTCTCGACGGCGAGACTGTAGCATTGCTCGTTGCACATCATAGAGACGTAATCAAGCCGGTCAAAGTAGGGCAAAGCCTGAGTGTAGGTTTTATATTCAATTAGTTTCTCAGTACCGCGGTGGAGGAGCCCTATATGGGGGTCAGCCCTGCGTACCATCTCCCCGTCTAATTCCAAAACTAAGCGCAAGACTCCGTGCGCGGCCGGATGTTGGGGCCCAAAGTTCAAAGTGAGGTTTTTGACGGAGCGTTCGACGGGGGCCTTCTGGGCGTTCCATGGAGGCAATACCCATTTACTTGTCACTTCGTCGGGGTACATGACGGGGCCGTCGAATTGAGACATGTATTCGGGATCGGGATACCATTTCGCTTTATTATCGCCACTAAAAACAATTACATAACCTCACTTTTATTACATAATTGTTTCAAGCTGTGAATTTTTTATTTTAAAGAATGGGGGCACGTACCTAGTGTGAATTAAAGCAGCCCCGTTGTTTAGTAATAATTTAGGTGGCGACAAAGGTCCAATTTTGCGAAAAATTGTTAAAATTGCGTTTGCCATTTTGACAGGTGACAGCCCCGGGACGTGGCTAAAGCTACAACAATTTTCAAGTTACGTCACTGCGACAAGAATTGAAATATCAAACTAATAAAAATAAAAAACTTAAACTTTATTTGTATAATTTAAGGATAACAATGATTTACATCATGTCTAATTTTTACAAAAATTGTTTACCACAGACGGGACGGGATCTGTCTATAGCTACAACAATTTTAAAGTTACGTCACTCTTGACACCGATTAAAAAATAAAATTAATTAACTCAACGAATTAAAAAATAAAATTAATAAAAGTAATAATTGTAAAGTGTCAAGAAAACTTATAATTGTGCCCAATTTCTTGCCATGAACCGAACCTGCAAGTGTCTAAAGCTACATTTTAAGGTAACGACACTCCAATAATTTTTTTTTAATTAATTAAGGTAATGAGGTTAATGCTTATCAATGCGATAAAGAAGCGCAAAGAAATAGCAATTTGCATCGTTGTGCTAATCGAGTAATTAAAATAATTTCCATTTTGAGGAAACCAGTGGCGTATCAAGGCCCCCTATTTCAAAATTCGAGTGAAGTTGGCAGCATATGTACCAACTTCATTTTATTTAAATTTGAATTTTTTTTTCAAAAATCTGTAATTCCGTTGTATGATTTCAATACAATCAGACGCGGTGCAAATTGCTTCATTGTCGGTGCAGAATGAGTGTAAAATATGTACATATTAATTATTTCCCATATTTAAATTAGAAGTTTCCGCAGGAACTTTGCGATATTGTTTTGGTAGCGTAAATTAGTGCGTTTTTTCACCGATATCGCAAACAAACGTATTTAAAGAAGTTGAGAACGTTTTCGTTCTGAAAATGTCGCTCATTTTCGCTTTATTTGTTATTTTGCGTTTCTTATTTAATATTATGGAAAGTGGGACCGAGAGGTAATCGTAAATAACTACTAGTCTCACTCAATTATCAATTTTTTCTTGTATATAGTAACGATATTTTGGGGGAAAGACTCCAAAAAGGCCAAAAACTGAATTACTACTGGAACGTACCGACATTTCAGTGTGATTCCCACAAGTTGAACTTTTCAGGCCTTGCTGAAAAATACGGAATTATTCAGAACGAAAACGATCGGTTCCGAGGCAACGAAATTGTGATATTATACGACCCTGGGAACTTCCCCGCCTTGTTGAAAGACGGGAGTAAGATGATGAAACGCAACGGGGGAGTCCCCCAGGAGGGTAATCTCACCCTCCACTTGACTCTCTTCGAGGAACTCCTTACCGAACTCATCCCTGAAGATTTTTCAGGTTTGGGAATAATCGATTTTGAGAGTTGGCGTCCGATTTACCGGCAAAATTTCGGCTCGTTGTCCCCTTACAAAGACCTCTCCGTCGAGATCGAGCGCCAGAGTCACCCCTTTTGGCCGAAATTCCTCCTGGAGAAGGAGGCAACTCGCAGGTTTGAGTTCCACGCGAGGAAGTTCATGGAGGAGACGCTTTTCGTAGCTAAAAACTTGCGAAAGAACGCCACATGGGGGTACTATGCGTATCCGTACTGTTTCAACATGTCGCCAAACAACATGAAGGTGGAGTGCCCCAACGAGGTGCAAAAGGAGAATGATAGATTGGAATGGTTGTTTCAAATGAGCGATAATCTCCATCCTTCGATTTATTTCGATGGGAGATTGAGTGCAAAAGAGAAGATTCAGATGATTGAAGGAAGGATCAATGAGGCGCATCGGGTGGCCACCTATGTCAAAACCAGGACGCATCGGCCAAAAATTGTGCCTTATTTCTGGTACAAGTACCACGGAGGACAAGTTTTTCTCACAAAAGTGTGTTTCAGGTTTTTTTTTTGAGCGAAGTTAAGTGATTTTTTTTCGTAGGAAGATCTCTTCAATGCGGTTTTGACCTTGTCCACTTCTGATATTGACGGTGTGGTGATTTGGGGCAGTAGCAATGATGTTAATACGAAAAACAAATGTCTGGATTTGTACGAATATGTTGATAATGTTTTAGGGCCAAGTCTAGTCAATAATTTTTAGTTGAAATAAATTTTACGAGTTCAAATTTTTAATTTTCCGCCTGAGAAAAGTGTATTTTTTCCTCCCACAGGTGACAAGTTTCACTAAAGGAGGAAAAGACACTTTTCTCCAGTGCAATGCATATAATTTTTCCTACGGTTCAATAAAACTTGGAACAATTTTGACAATTTAATAATAATCTTACTAAAATAATGGAGCATACAGGCAACCAGCAATACACGGTGTAAGGTTGGTTGCCGTCAATTGTAAGTTGGCCACCCTGTGCTGTAATTCCATGACTTGAACTTGTTGAAAACATGCTTAAATTTATTGCTTTAAATTTTATTTTTTCTATAATAATAATTTTTGTACCTATGCACTTGGAATTAATAAACATTTCCGATTTATGGTATGAGACCATGCGCGACTTTAAATTTAAAATTTCCGCCAAAATACTCCTATGCACTCTTAAATCGAGAAATTTTCGCTAAAAATTACAAAATAAAGTATGTTTTAGTTTCCTGTCACGTTTTTAAACATTATTTTATGGTAATCTGTAAAAAGGTTGTTGTCTGTGGTTTTTATCACAGACCAATAAAGTATATTTTTTTGTTGGTCTATGGTTTTCATTTTAAACTTAATTTTACAGTAACCTGTAAAGAACAGCCATTGGTTCATAAATCCTCGGTCAGGTAATTTTAATAAAAGACAGTTTACAGAAACAATGATTTATTTTTTGCCTTTTTTACACTTTAAATTTATCCCTATGCTAAAATACTTTCATTTGAAACGTTTTTGTCAACCATGTCGCAAGCGTGACATTCGTTATTTGTTAGTCACATAGAATTAATCTAACAGCATTTTTCTCTAACCCTGCATTATGAGATGTTCTACTTAAACCAAAAACATTTGTATCTAAGTACAATTACGTAAAATATCACAATAAATCAATACTTTTCGCGTGTGAATTTAGCAAAGAACACCTCATGCTAGTGCTTGACGAATCCAATAGCTGCGCTGCTGTTGCATTATTCAAAACAATATGGTCCTGTCGACTACAACTCTACGTTTTGAATTTTTTGTACACAAAGTGTGAAAGGATAGAGACAGTGCATGAAACACTTAGATGGCAATTTTCGGCCGTAAATTAATACAAAAATAAATAGAGTAAAGCGTAATTTCTAAGTAGATAGATATAAGAAAAAATAAAATTTCATGTACTGTAAATTCTTCGACTAAATAACAATAATGTTCAACAATAAAGTCACTTTTCTAAAATCCACACACAATTCATCCCTCCCTCTCTCATTACACCATTATATACATTTTTGTTTAATTTCTAACAAAATAGATCGATTTTAGAAAAGTAAGGAATTACAATTAGCATCAATTTGTGGCGAGCGATTTATTACTTATAATATTGCTGCGTTTTCGATGCTCCGGCTCGGAATCAAAGGACTCAAAGTGCCTGCGACCTTCTGGCCCCTTTCCATCTCATAGTGCGTGTCCAGGGGGATACCTAACACAAATATTAACTCAATTATCAAATTCTTAACGCAAGAAAAACTCACTTGAATCAGTACTGGATTTTGTCGGGATAAATGAAGCTACAAGAAGGGCGCAAATGACTAGAAAAGCCCCAAACACGAAGGGGGGACCAGGCACCAACTGAAACAAAAGCAATCTATTACCAAATAGTCACCAAGTCAGAATTTTTTACATACTTATTACATAATTTGAATTTTCTTTTTTTTTAATTGTTTTCAAATGAAACTAAAAACCAGATCTGCCAACTTACTTTATTAAAATACATTGAATGAATTGCTGGTGGTGCCAACGTTGATTGTTTGACATTTCCGTTAAAAAAAAACACTTTATTTCTCAAAATAAATGAAGTTCTACTTTTGGTTCAACATTGTTCATTATTGCCAACCTAATTTCACAGCCGCAGACCACTTTGATCAGAAATATTATTATACAGGCTGTTCAACGAGTAGTAATGAGTCTAAAAAAATTTTTGAAGCAACTAACATTACATTTCAAAGATAACTGAAATGTAATGTTGGTTGCTTCAAAGATTTTATATATTTATTACTCCTGGGACACCCTGTATACTTTTTTTATATCAATGTCAAAATAATTTAAAAAAAAAGAGCTGAATGTTTTACCAGACTAACAAACTATGATTTAAAATTTTCTCTAAAGTAATACAGTCAAAAGTTTATGTTTATTTAAAATGAATTTTTTTCGAAATTAATAAAGCTTTCTGCTTAAAAAACGTGCTTAAACTCTCGAAAAAGACACAATTAACTCTATTTTGAGCTATTTTTTGTGTTTTAGAAACTTAAATTCTTAGTTCGAAAATGTGCTTTAATTAAGCAACACCATTTTCAATCAAATTTGGTTTTTCGTCTTATATTTTAACAGAATTTTGCTCAAAGACAAGCTAAATGTAAATGAGTGACATAAAATAAAATTAATGTCAATCTAATTTGGTAATTTCTCAAACAGTTTTAGCAAAATTTTTCGAAAAACTTTGTAATCACTTCAGAATCGTGCCTACACACTACAAAACAAAAAACATCAATTTTGGTCAAAAAACGTACTAAAACGCTCGAAAAGGCAAAAATAATAATAAAATAAATAATAACAAAATATTAATGGCAAATTTATTGAGTTTTTGACCCTAATTTAGCGACATATTTTCGACAAAATTTATCAAAACAAATGAGTTTTTGTGTTTTTACCTGAGAAACATGATAAAACACTTGAAAAACACAAAAATTGTAACTTGATTTCCTATTTATTTCAGAAAAATCTCGCAAAAACCTTAAATTTTTAGTTTAAAACATACGTAAACTTAAAAAAAGGTAAAGCAACATATTCATTAAAATTTTGTGGTTTTTCGGCTTATTTTTTGACAGAATTTTGCTCAAAAACGAGCTAAATCAAGTCAAAGAAATAAAAAAAAATATTTTTTTTGGTAATTGTTTTGCAACATATACTACGTTTCCATGAGGAATTGAATTCGAATTGAAAACGGTATTGAGATTCAATACGGCCATGGAAACACTTTAAAATCGGTATTGAAATCGTTTTGAATCTCAAGGTCGATACGGCAAATTCTGGGATCGTATCGGGATTGAAAGTACAGTCACGAGCAGAAATAATGACACCCCTATAAACCCGGCCGGCTGGCAAGGGGCTGAACTCAAACCGCAGCTATAAATCTTTTGGGTCATAAACATCAACAAATATTCGTTCGAAGGTTTCATTGGCTGGGAAGCATGATTTCGTGCTGTTATATTCGTAATCGAGTAAATTAATAAATGTAAATTAATTCACTGTTTACTCAAAATGATTAAAACTTTTTCTTTATTATAGTTTTTTGGTATAGATTTTCAATAACTGGTTTATTTATTTTTCGATAATAATTTTCGTAATATTTTTATTTTTATTTGTTTTAATAATAACAGACACCTAACAAAATATTTTTTATTAAACAATTTCTAAATAAAATGAATTTTAATAATTGCAATAAAATTTTTATTTCACATTTTACAATGCAAAGTAAATAAATAGAAGTGAAGTAAATCTAAATAAAATTTTTAAATAACAGTGTGGTATCCCATATCTAACTCTCCATAGCTGACAGAAATTCGTCATTCTAATCCTTTTTTTCACTGATTAAAGGGTGCATGAACCACCCACAGCGCCCGAAACTGCCCCCGATATTCGGTTGATAGTGATTATAATAATAAAGCAGGATGAAGAAAAGTGCAAACACCGAAGGCGTTTAGGTTTTAAAAATAATCCGATGTCGATGACGATACTATTTTTTAATTATAAAATTAAAACCCGTTTCCACAACATTAATAATTGCAATCAAATATTGATTTGCTACTAATTTCAACAACAATTAATATTAATTCGCATTCTGTAAATCAACTCTTGGATAATGGGCGACACAAACAATTACTTTTTGCGTTGGAAATCTATAGAAAGTGTTTATTTATATTAATTAGAAAATTAAAATCATGCTTTACTTAAAAAGTTGACACATCAAATAATTCCTATTCTAATTTGCGTAATACAGTTTTAATCATTTTGAGTAAATAGTGAATTAATTTACATTTATTAATTTACTCGATTACGAATATAACAGCACGAAATCATGCTTCCCAGCCGATGAAACCTTCGAATGAATATTTGTTGATGTTTATGACCCAAAAGATTTATTGCTGCGGTTTGAGTTTAGCCCCTTGCTAGACGGCCGGGTTTATAGGGGTGTCATTCTTTCTGCTCGTGACTGTACAATTCTATGCATGGAAACAGTATCGTACTGAATCCAACTGTACTTTGCCGGGCTTGTGTCAAAAAGGTGACGTTGAAAGGCTGTCGTTGTTGTGTGAAGTAATTTTGGTTTCGTTTTGCTTTTTTTTTCATTTTTTTTTTCAAAAAAAAAAAAGATTTCCAACTACTTCATGGAAACACACACGGACTCAATCCCAATACCGTTTTCAATTCGAATTCAATTCCTCATGGAAACGTAGTAATAATTGAGTAAATAAAATCAATGTTAATCTAATTTGGTAATTTCTTAGTCAATTTTTCGAAAAACTTTGTATCCATTGCCAAAACGTGTTTAAACACCCTGGAATTCAAAAAACATCAATTTTGGCCAAAAATGCTCAAAAAAGCCATAATAATGCCATTTTTTTACATTTTCACTATAATTTGAGGGCTTTTCGACTTATTTTTGACAAAATAATAGTTTCTGGCTACAAAATGTGCAAAACGCTCAAAAAACAAAAAACAATATAGTGTCATCTCATTTTTTTAATAGACTACATTAACTTATTAACAGTTTACAAAATTATTCGAAATTTTGCCAATATGTGCTTAACATACACCATATCATTAGACGACTGTTGACATTTCCGTTTAAAAAAACACTAGTTTTCACAAATTCTCTCAAAATAAATGAAATCGAACCTAAAGTATGTTTTTTGTTAATGGAAAATATCAAGTCAAAATTTTGGTGGAAAAATTGGTAGCAGCTTATCTCCATAGCCATAAATTTTCTTTTTGTCCCTAAAAATTTTGTGAAAAAAATATGGTTATGTGTTCATTTTGTGATGTCAAAATTTTGACATTTATGAATCTTGTCTGCTTGTTTGCTCTTTGTAAGCCTTTATAATCGAATACCTGAGGACAGACATTACTACCTAATGTCCAAAGACAGAATTCAGTGGTAATAATCGTGATAGAACCACAACTGTAAGTAAGTACAATGTTGTGGACAAAAAGCTACTTACTACAAAAACTTTAATAAAAAAGGATGTCCATACAAAAAAAAAAGTTATTTTGCAAATTTAATGGCGTTCTTTCTCTTTGATGCTTATGTTGTATTATCATCATTGTCTTACTAAAAATTAGAGAATGTTTACCAAACCTGCATTATAAATTGCGTCTAAATTTTAACGGTGATCATTTACTGACTTATGCTTGTACTCTTTTTGTCTTCAAATTTCCAAAAACTTTTCGCGATACCCAATTTGTCCCCGTTTTGTGTTTTAATTTTTAAATTTTCTTAGACGATTTTTAAATCAAAAACCGGAAGTGCCAATTCCTTTTAATAAATTAATTTATCCGTAAACGTCATAAAAGTGACCAATTTTATGAGTAAATGACACAGGTAAAAGTTTTACTTTTCAGACACGGAGTAAAAACACTGTTTTTACGCCTAGGCGTTTTCACTTTTACTTGACACTTACTTTGACATTTACCACTATTGTCTCTTTCGCTTTTTCAGCATTTTCTGGAGAGGTACAAGGTAGATTATCAGCAGTCGACATTTTGCACTATAAACTACACCAGTTATTCACCAGTTAAATTAATCAACACTTTCGAAATCTCAACACAAATTCCGAAACTAACGCGTGACGTTTGTTATGATTTTATTGCAAAGCGTCCTGATTATTGAGGTGATTTACTTGATTATTGGTGTGTTGCTCTTTTCTCTCCATCTGAATCGTTTGCAGATAAAATAGTATATGTTATTTGGAGTAAAAGTGAGTTTATGTGGCTCAGCTGAATCCATTTCCATGAACGTTCAGCTTCGCCACATAAACAATCACTTTTACTCCTAATAACATAATCTACTATTGTTAGGAGACTGTATGACATTTCCATTTAATAAAAAAAACAGACTTTAATTTTAGTCACATTCTGAAATGAGGTTGGCAGCATTGTCACAAACCTGCGAGTACGTTTCCATCTCGTGCACTGGCGTAGCATGCGTTCCTTCCTGATTCTCCCCCTCGTTGAGATCCACATGAAACACGTAGAAAATCAACCCGAACATAGCCGGTCCTAAGCCATTACACAGCCCCCTCATCCCTGTCACCATCCCTTGCACAACTCCTTGCCTATCCGGCGTACTCACAATACTAACAAATGCCGAAATCGCCGGATACGTAATCGAACTCATTGATGCCAACATCCCTGCCGCCCACATCATCCACGTCGTTGTCCCAAAACCATACCACAACAGTTGTAACATTTCGAAGAGGAGTCCTAACATAATTGTGTGTTTACAACCGAGGTTTTTCATCAATGCACCAAGACATAGTTGTGTGAGGACGGCAAGGAGGCCGACAAGACCGACAAAAACGGCGACCATGGGGGCACTCCAACCCATTACCAGTTTCAAGTAGACGAAAATGCAACTGTATTGACCGGCTTCGGGGAGGTAGGAAAGGAAAACGGTGATACAGAGGAGGAGGATTGTGGGGTCTTGACCGACGTTACGCAAGGAGGAGAAAGGATCGGCTTGCTCCCAACTGATGGGGGAGACGCGGACTTTTTCGGGGAGGCTTTCGGGAACGGCGACGAGGATGAAGAAGACGTCCAGGATGGCGACAGCGGTGGCGAGGGCGACCACCAGCGATACGGACCACCTAAAAAGAGACAAAAAAAAAAACTTATTATCGTATCAACAAAAAATTACTCCCTAGGATTTAGGGATATTCGTGAATAGGTTGCCATAAATTTGGTTAGGTTGGTTTGTAGTGACAAACAAAAGATATCATCGTAACTAGTGTCAAAAATGTAGGTTAAGTCACCTGTGAACTTGTATAGATAACTCAATTGATAGTTGACAGTAGGTTGTCAGAAAACGTCAACCGTCAACCATGGGCGTCGTTCCAATTTTTTTAGAGAGGGGCAACCTCATCGCACTTTAAAAATAAATATTTTATTGCAAACACAAAAACATGTTATACAAAATAGGAACATAAAACCATATTTTTTCTAACGGAAATTATAAATGAAACCATAAGACAGGAATCTCTAAAACCCTAAGTTGGAGTCTAAAAGTGTAAAAGTAAAAAAAATAAAAAAATATAAAAATTATAAAACTTAAGCATAAAATAACACAAATCAGTAAATAACATGAACTAATAAATACTAAGAAAAATGAGAATTGGAAATCAAAACATAAAATAAAAACTCTTTCAAAATACATTCAAAAAAATAATGATCAATAGAAATAAAAAAAATTAAAAAAAATAAAAGTTTTAAATTTCGTTTTTCTCAACCAAAATCGTCTATGATAAAAAAGTTAAAAAATGTTACTAAAAAAAATGTTAGCTATTTATGCAACAAGTTACAAAATGAGCGTATTTTTTACTAGACGTGTGCAAAAAACAGCCATTTTGAATCGTGTTTTATACAAGGTTTTTTCCAATTTGGTTGTGAAAAGCATAGGATATTCGAATTCGAATTAAAATCTGTGATTTCAATAATTTTCCAAACTCATACTATACTAGGTCGTGGCGTTGCCATGAAAATAGTGTTATTTGTTTCCTTTATGTCACACTTTTTAACACTAGTGATAAAATAATGTCATATTTTATAACTAGTGATAAAATTAAACACATTTGACAACTAAAATGACATATCACAATGGTTGCTTTTCACAACAAAATTGGAAAAAAAATAGTTTACCGCTAACGGAATATTATTCCGAAAAAATGTCTTAGGCTAACTTCCAGGGGGGGGGGGGACATGCCCCCCCCCSKYCCCCCCCCCCCCCCCCAAACGACGCCCATGTCGTCTAGGTATTCAAAATTACTTCTGAAAATTCTAGTTACAAACAACATGAAAAACGTCATTTTCCTAAAAATTCAAATCGTAGGTGGTAATTTCTTGTTGACAAATCTGTCAAGATTTCAATTAAAACAATTAAGTCTGCGACCAAAGTAGTCTATGATATTGAAATTAAGTTGGCAACATTGAGACAGAAGAATTTCACCACTGTTTTGGTTTTTTCCGTTATATTTTTCGTGCAATCAGACAAACAAAATAATCGTACTTTTGGAGATTCTTTATTTTCAATTTAATCAATGTTACCAACTTAATTTCAGCCAGAAACAATTATTTTGTGATATTTTGTCGAAAATAAGCTGAAAAATCACGTTCAGACGAAATTGTTGTTGTTTTTGCCTTTTTCGAGCGTTTTGTTTGAGTTGATTTCGATTAACCGATCCGAAAACTCATCAAATCAAGTCAAAAATAACCTTGTTTTTATTTTTATCCAACTTTGAAGTCCGTTGTCGAGAGATCAGAGATGGCGCTCGTGAATTTAGTCACGTTTTTAAGACAAAAATTCAGTTTTTTGTAAGATTTTGCCTAAACACACTAAAAAATTGGTTCATATAAAGTATTATTTTTGACCATATCGAGCGTTTTATCACATTTTTCAGTCAGAAACGCTATTATTTGACGAAATTTCGTATAAATAAATAAGACAAAAAAAAACACTAAATTTGGCCAAAAATAATGTTAAGTTGTTGTACGTTTAAGCACTTTTTTGGGTTTGAAACTTAGTTTTTTTTGCTAGATTTTGCCAAAATATACCGAAAAATTACGAATTTTTTGCTAGATTTTGCCAAAATACTAGGTGCGCCAGAACTCGCGCCCCAGAGATAAATACCATATAAGGTAAGATACCAGGAACATGGAAAAAATGTTAAAAAAAAATTATCCATAAAAATTTCGAAGTTATGAGGGTTTAAAGTTTGCACTTTGACTCTTTATTTCTGTTGTAAAAATAAAATTAAATTAAATTTTGCACTATGACTCTATTTATTTCTGTTGGAAAAATAATTTTCCAAGTTTTTTTGCTATAGGCTATTAAAAGAGGAAACTAGGAAGCTGTATCCTAAATTGTAACTCTGTTCAATGTTATTTGTGGCTTTTATTGGCAAAATTTTTGTCCCTTTACTAAATAATTGTAAAAAAACATATACAAGATCATCCGTATCCTTAAATAGATATAAAAAAAATGTCAAATGTCAAAAAATAAATGTAAATTTTTTTTGACACATACAATTTTTAAACATTTTTTTCATGTTATCTTTCTTGAAAATTTTCTCTGGGGCGCGAGTTCTGGCGCACCCCTGTATACCGAAAAATTACGAATCTAGTTCAAAAAAACACATTTTTAAGTGGTTTGGCACATTTTTCTGACAGAAACGCAATTATTTCATGAAATTTGTCAAAAATAAGTCAAGAAATTATTTATTTAAGCCAAAAATTAGATTACCTTCAAATATTTCAGTTCTTTTATAAGCTACAAACTCAGGATAGAGCAAAAAATTACCAAATTTATTTAAAAACGACACTATTTTCGTCTTCTTTCAAGAGTTTTTCAATAAGAAACGCAATTATCTCCCTACATTTAGTCAAAATACGCCGGAAAAAGAGCAAATCATGTAGAAAATTGTGTTATTTTTTTAAGATTTAGTTACGTTTTTAAGCTTAAAACACAGTTCTTTGCAAAATTTTGCTAAAACCATATCGAAAAATTACTAAATTGGATTAAAAGTTGAGTTATTTACGTGTTTATTTGGACATTTTATCACGTTTTTTCAGTCAGTTTAAGAAAGTATTTTACAAACTTTCGTTAAAAATAAGACCAAAAATCACTAAAAGTCAAAAATTATGTTTTCATTTTTTAAAAAGTTTAAGCATGTTTTTGGATCCAAAAAGCACAAAAGTGAGATAAAAATGACGAATTTTTGCATATTTCAAGCTTTATTAACACGTTTTTTAGCCACAAAAATTATTTCGTAAAATTTCATTAAATCTAAGCCAAAAAAAAAACACTAAATTAAGTCGAAGATGGTGTTATTTGCGGCTTTTTCGAATGTCTAAGCAAATTTTTGCGATGAAAACTCTACTTTTTGCAAAATTGTGCTAAAAAAAATTTTTTTTCGATTTTAGAGCATTTTCGGATGTTTTTTAGTCAAAAGCGCAATTATTTTAGAAAAACTCGTGAAAAACAAGTCGGAAAATCAGACAATTATATTATACAGGGTGTTTCACATAACTTTACGAGGCTTGCGCCTAATGTACGCACCCAAATATACAAAAGTCACAAAACACTGGATACAAAAAATACACATTTAATTATTTCATTTTTGGAAACCCATGACAGTAGTTGTCAAACTAATCACTGTTTCATTAATAGTCATAAACTGCAGTTTTTCAGAAACAATTATCATTTGTTCTATCAAGAGACGGCATGAATATGATTGTAGTTTATCTATCTTAATCACTAACTAACTAAAAACGTTGTATTTTTTTAAAGGGTGAACAAACTAGAAAAGATTATCCAATTTTTCAAAATTTGTAATCGAGTTCATATCGGAATATGTATTATTGATTGCATCTTACAAGAGCAGGCCTCGTAAAATTACGTGAAACACCCTTTATATTGCCTTCTTCAAGCATTTTAAACATTTTTCAATTAAAAAAGGGAATTATCTCCAAAAATTTGGACAAAAATATACCAAAAAATCATCAAATTAAGTAAAAAATAATGACTTTTGCTTACTTACATCATGTTTTTTGCAAGATTCTGTTAAAACACATTGAAAAATCATCAAATTGGATTGAAATGACTTTCTTTATGATTTTTTGAGCATTTTTCGGTCAGAAATTTACAAAATTATTTCGTCACAAATCATAAAATGTACTCAAAAATAGTGTTATTTTTACTTTTTTACATTGTGCTAAAAAAATTCGTACAAAAATAATGCCACTTTCTGTTTTTAGAGCATTTTAAGACGTTTCTTAGTCAGAATCGCAATTACTTTGAAAATTTTCGTCACAAATAAGGCAAAAAATGAATAAACTATCACGGAAAAGAAATTATTTTTGCTTCTTTTGAGAGTTTAAGCATGTTTTTGAACCGAAAAATTATCTCGTTGCTTTTCCAAACGTTTTAGCAGATTTTTCAACTAAAAGCATAATTATTTTACAAAACTTTAAAAAACGTCAAAATAAACTGCGTTTTGAACTTAAACCCAGTTTTTTTTTTACTAAAAAACATCAAATAAGTAATACATATACCAAACTAATGCAAAAACGAAATAATTTTTGGCCTTTTCAAGCGTTTTAAAACATTTTTCAATTAAAAATGCAATTATTTTATTATTATTATTGAATTAAGTAAAAAATAGGGTTATTTTTACATTTTTTTACATATTTAAGCATGTTTGTGAGCTTGGTTAAAAAAAACAAATTGTGCTAAAATAACAATATTTTTGCATATTTCGATGCCTTTTCCAGTAAAAAAATATTAAATTACATTAACCTTCGGGTGACCAGGTAGGATGAATTATGACCATAAAAACAGTAAATTAATTCTAAACTAAGGCATTTTTGACTTCTTCAAATGTCTACACTTAACTTTTTGCGAAACTGTGTTAAAAACAGCCGCAATAATATTAAATTCGTTTAAAAATATTATCAAATACATTGAAGAAAAAACAATTTTGCTTTTTAGAAGAGTTTAAGCAAGTTTTCAAGCCAAAAAATCACTACGTTGCTTTTTCGAGCGTTTTGGCAGATTTTTTTAATCAAATTGTTCCGCAAAATTTCGTCAAAAATAATGCCAAATTCATTTTTTTTCATACACTGTGAATTCTTGTTTAATACAAACTCATATCTAGACCGAAATTACAAATTAACGATTTTTTTTATGAAAAACAAAACAAATTATAAAAAATTTCCTCATTCAAGTTTTATTGAATTTTATTACAAACAAAAGTGTTCTCAATAAAAATTCTATAAACTTATTTTGTGTGTTAAACAATTCTTGGTTGTACTTGTATTTTTTTATGGACATTACTTTAAACAAATTATGTAAAAAAAGCGTTATCACTGATTATTTTTTATGTTGAGTGTCTGATAAAATTACCAATGATAGCAGCAAATGTTAATGGAGTCTGATATCAGACACAAAAATATTTCTCTTTCAATAAAATAATGAATCATCATCAATCATAAAAAACATGACCAGATTTCAAATTAAAAAAAAAACGTTCTAATTGACCACCAAACTCACCTTATTATTTATAACTAAATTAACTAAATTAGAGAGATTACAAATCAAAAATAGTAAACAAACAACGTAATTTCCGTCAAGGCCTAATTACCCGTCACTTACCTCTCCATCAGGTAAGCCCCCAGCGCTGGTGAGATAACCATACTGGCGGCAAAAGTGGCACTAACCAATCCATAGGCCAAAGACCGGTCCTTTTGATCAGTAACATCGGCCACATAGGCAAAAACAACGCTGAAAGTGACCGCAAAAACCCCCGAAATGCTGACCATGGCGAAAAACCAAAACGTATTAATCGTCATTAGTGGGATCGGCAGACATGTGAAGAACACCGTAATCAAAAGGAACAACTTTCGACCACAAACATCCGAAAGTGCCCCCACTAACGGTGCACTCAGGAACGACAAAATCCCCTTGATCCCCATAATCAAGCCGTTCATTAGAAAAGTGTGGTCGGGGAATGTGGTGTTTAATACTGATATGACGGGCATTGTGAGCAGCCCCCATGCGAAGAACTCGAGGAAGATGACGACTAGAGCGTGGTAGAGGCTTGGCATGCCGATGCCCGAGGTCTGCAACAGAAAAAAAAAACAGTGAGGGGGGCTGTAGTGTGAGGGACACTCACTGGGGGGTAGCTTAGGTAAAAACGGCGGAATTTACGAAAGTTTAAAACATAGTTTTTGAATAGGTAGTATGCCACCAACATGCACATGTTATCACAGCGGAGGCTCTTGTTGTTATCATTGTGATAAGGATGAGTGGTTTTAGGGTTTGAATAATTGAGCGAATTATGGCTTGTTTTCGGTGCAAATTACACATTTTTTATTTAAATCTTGTAATGAGTGTCATACGTACTGTCACAACACCGTCCTTGGCGATCGATTTTCGAGACATCATTATTATCCCAGCCATACGTTTCGACGATTTCGCCTTCATGTCTTCGGGGTCTGTCATGGACAGTCTTTAGTTCAACACTTCACAACACTTTTTAAAAACAACATTTTATCGGTTTTCAACGAATCTTTGACACTGACACTACGGTCGCCATAACCTTCCACTAGTAGAGGTACCAACTGACCAATGACGAAATCCCTAAACGCTAATCATGGAAAAATCTCACCCAATGGAAAATTAAACGAGGAAATTTTGTAATAACTGACAGAATGACATGAGATTTTAATAGATAAAGTTGTTGCGAATGATTTAACACTGGGTTTTCATAAATTTTGGTAATACTAATAATGTTACCAACTTTTGGTGAAAAACAAAATGTCAAGTCAATTACAAAATTAATAATTATTATTTCAAGTCAATGATGCGCATTAAGGGAAGACAGCAGGGTTCAAAGCCGGTTTGGACACGTTAGTCGAGTACCTTGTTATTTTTTTAAATGTTTGTTTTTTGTACCAACCTTTAACTACAAAATTTACTATTGTATTATACCAGGGAGTCATGTTTTATCCACATCTCGAAAAACGAGGTATTTTTCCAAAATTTGGTTTAAATAAGCCATAAAATTATCACATTAGTTTAAAAATTACATTATTTTTGCCTTTTTCAAAAGTTTGGACACAGTTTTCGAGTGAACCGCAATTATTTCGTCAAAAAAAAAAAACAAAAAGTTCCGAATTTATGCCAAAAATTGTTGTTTCGGCCAAACTTAAGCTAAAAAATCAGTTTTTTTCGCAAACCAGGCGGAAAAATCACCAGATAAATTCGAAAATAACAATATTTTTATAAACGATGTAATTTTCTGATAGGTGGCAGGTTGACACTAGATTTAGATAAATAAATTGAGATTTAAAGATTTAAGTGTTTTGGCACATTTTTCGACAGAAGCGCAATTATTTCGTCAAAAATTACTAAACCACGCGTTAATTGTGTTATTTTAGCCATTTTCAAACGTTAAAGTCCTTTTTAAGATCAAAATTCAGTTTTTTCGCAAGATTTCGTAAAATAAGGCAAAAAATTACGTTATTTTTGAATTTCGTTTTAGCGTTTTAGCTTTTTCTGTTTAAAACACAATTATTTCGCAAAACCTCAAGAAAAATAAACTGAAAAATCACTCCATTAGATTGAAAATGGTGTGATTTTTTCCTTTTTCAAACATTCTAAGCTTATAACAGTTTTTTTCATAGTTTGCTAAAACATATAAAAAAAATCACAAAAGTGGACGACACTATTCTTGCCTATTTCGAACATTTTAGCACGTTTTTCAGTCAGAAATGCCATTATTTGTCGAAATTTCGGATAAATATGACAAGAAAAACGCTAAATTGAATCGAAAATGATGTTATTTTTGCCTTTGTTAAATATTAAAGCACTTTTGAGTTCAAAACACAGAAAAATAAGCTGAAAACTCATTTAGTTAAATTGAAAAACGTTTATTTATTTGAGATCAAAACATAATTTTTTGTTAAATTTTGCTATAACAGACTAAAAAATTAGATGCCAAATGTATCCAAAAACGACATTATTTTTGCTATTTTCAAAAGGTTTAAAACGTCTTTCAATAAGAAACCCAATAATTTCGTAGAGTTTAATCAAAAGTGAAAAGTAGTGTTATTTGTGCTTTTTTAAATGTTTACTTAAATTTTTGTGCTTAAAACGCATTTTTTTTCTAAAATTTTGCTAAAACGAGCCCAAAAATGACATTGTTTGTGCCTTTTTTTTCGGGCGTGTTTGCAAGTTTTTCAGTCCAAAACGCAATTATTTTACAAAATTTTATCAAAAATCAATTAATTTTATAATGTTGACCTAAACCGACCCGAAAAATCACCAAAAAAGGTCGAAAATAACATTAAGGGTCAAAATTGACACTAGATTTTGATAAATTTTGGTGATATAAAAATCACCAACATTTGGTAAAAAACAAAATGTCAATTTAAAAAAAATATTTTTTCTTATTGGAACACTCATTTTTCGATGAATACGGGCCAGAATTATAAAAATAAAAATGCATTTTATTCACTCAGTTTAAAAACACGGGTTGTGCATAGTGTAGAATTATTTCACCCACGGCTCTCCAGATACCGGCATGGCGGCCAATTTAAATCTTGTAACTTGTTTATTCACTATATGAGAAATATACAATAATATGTGTAAATAATAAATTTGCTTATTTATACAGAATGCCAACTGTAATAATAACAATTACAATATTTACAAACGTGCACACGCCGCCATTTACGCCCCAATCACTTTGTATCACTCTGTATTTTCCGAATCATTTTGTCCATCCCCAGCCTCCCGCGTCATATTCTGTATATGACTCTCAGGGGGGCTGCTTTCAGTCGGCGAATTAATCCCTTGATCAAACGGATCATTCAATTTTTCATCCGATTGGGAATTCGGAGCTCTTAGAAAATCCTCCTTGGGGGCCGGTTCTTGACTCTCTTCTTCCTGATTGGTTATTTGAGCCGTATTTGTCAGGTTTTGGGTACCGGCAAGGATCGCAGGACTCTGCAAATTGGGCTTCCGGACTTTATCACCCTTCCGCCACAGTGTGATCTCCTGTTGTTTGAAATATCTCCGATCTTCCGTATCCATCAACACCAAATTGAGAAAATACCTCACCGAGAATTTCTTATTGATGTCTCGCATAGTTGGTGTGAGTTCATACCCCGCGAGGAACACCCGAATTGGAATGCTTTCGCCCCGGACTGGGGCCCCATCCATGATCTCATACTTGGCAATAGTCTCGTTTTCGGTGAACGTGTTAGGCCCTGTCCCCGTCGTCTCCTTCTTAATAATCGCAATTTCCATATGTTTGATTTTGATCCGGACGAGTAGAAAGTAAATTTTGCCCACAATCACGTCTTTTAGGTGATATTTCGACTTGTTGTATTCAAACTCGATGTGGAGACAATCCTCAATCCCCACTTCCATTTTGATCGAGTTGTTCATTTCGGGGTAACTCGATAGAGTGTGAACTGCAATGTCTAGTTCTTTGACGATGTCAGCAAGGCGTCGTATTATCGTGACTTTGAGGAAGTACCGCAGTCTCACGTTGGCCCCCGTGTACACCTCGAAGGGCTTCTCCACGCAGGTGAATTCAAAGGGGTAGCTGGTATGCGCGATCATGTCCCCCGGTCGTGCTAATTCCTTCACCAATGAGATAAATTCATGGTGGTTGCCTCTGTCGTAAAACATTTCGATTTGGCCAATAAACTCGATTTTGATACCCTGGTGTTCCAGTTTACTCCCCGGTTTTTTCAGGCTTATGTTCACCTAAAAGTCGGCTTGAAGTGGAAGGTTTTAGTGGTGTGGGGGCTCACCTTTCCTGAGACTGTTTCGCCGTCGTAGTACAGCAAAAGGCGCTCCTTTTTGCCATCTTCAGTCTTGACTTCGGCAGTTTTTCGGGTCTCTTGTCCATCTAAGTAGATCTCGATCTCGGCGGATTGTCCGAAACCGAAGAAACTCTACAAATCGATGGTTTAACCTATGAACGGTTTCGGGAGGCGTTTCTTACCATTCTAGCCAAGTGTTGGATGTACACCACTGGTTTCAAAAAAAAAGATTTTATTCGAGTCTTTGATTTAACACAACACAGTCTTGTTTAGTTTACAATCATTTTTGTTTCGGGGGATTTTATGGTTTTATAGGCGGTAGGGGTTTATGAAAGGGCACCTGCAAGATGGCCGACGTTACGTCGAATTTCAACTGACAGGTGGATTCGAAGCTCGATTAATCGAATTGCAAATTAAATTAAATTGTTTTAAAACGGTACTAAATAAAAAACAACAAGCTAAAATCAACATTTTGTTATTTATAAATTTAAAAATGTTTTAAGTGTGTATAATGAGTTGCATACATAAAAATAATAGCCAGCGTTACGTCGATTTTGGATTCGATATTGGACGGCAATCTTACATCGATTAGGAAAACATGAATTCCAAATTAACAACTTTTGAAATAAAACCTGGTTATTTACAAAAATCAAAACATTTGTTTTGCGCCCAACACTACCGCCTGCAATTATTTAATTCTTACTTAATAAAAAAACAAGCTCACTTTGTATAATGAGTTGCCTATGCATTTTACTCATTCATTTATCAGTTTTAACGAAAATGTCTGCAATATTTTTATTACATAAGAAACATAAAATGCTCTCGAATGGTACTGTACATAAAAGACGACAAACAATAGTTTCGGAGTTATCGGCGGATATCCGCTCTAAAAACTGCAAATGTGTGTATAATGAGTTGCATACCTAAAAAATTATTCATTGGAATTAGTAAAAAATTAATACAAAATCAAAAAAAATATCGACGTATCTACCTAATTTTTATTCATTATTAATAAATAAATAACAAAAGCCGTAAGAAACTAAACACACTACTTTATGATTTTTTTTATTAAAACTGGTTAATTTCTTTTCAAACAAAAAAATTTGGTAGCCTAGTTTGTCGTTCAAACTTGTGATAAATACCTGTGATTGGGATAATTACGAGTGTTAGTTTTTGGTACATTAAGTTGGAAAGCCAAAAATAACGGTATGTTTCGGATACGGTCCTGCATGTCCTAGCCACCATATCAAATCCATTCTTCCCACGAAAGTTGAATGTGGGTTAAAAGTGTTTGAGAACGAATAATGTGAGTCGACGAGTCGATGGACTCGGCAACGGTTGTGTGGTGAGAGGTGAATAATTCTTGTGCTTTGGTTTAGTGACATAGTCCGAAAAAAAAAACATATTCCACTCATTTATGGATTTGAAAAGTTAGAAAAATATTCGAGGTGAGGAAAAATTACAATTTATCGATTCTTAGAACGTGGAATCAGCGGTGATTCACTGTCTGATACTCAAATCCAGTTTAATTCAATTAGGACAGCGAACCTAATTAATAATTTCATTTAAGATGCCGAAAATATTGAATTGCTCAACACAATTGTTGTTTTCATACTCGGTAAAGCACGCAAAGACCTACTTCAATGCTAGAAAGTTGTTCAATTAGTTATTACTTTAGTCTACTTATTAATGATTATGCGGCATGTTTATGGACCTAAATTTCGATGTTAATTTCTAGTGTAAAACTCACTTCAAATTGTTATGAGTGGTTAAAATAATTTTGACATTACAAAAAAACATTACGTCACAGCCAACTCCAGTTTTTGGCCAAAAAGGTGATCGAAGTTACATCCAGAGGAGGTTTTATTATTATTTTTAGTTTGTCGCAATATTTTTTTAACTTGCTTAATCATTATTAAACAACAATTGCATATCCATGCTTTCGCACTTGCCTTCACCTCGGAAGCATAGATCACCCGTTCAGCCTACTCCGTATTTTCATTATATGCTTACGCTCGGACGTCGAGCGGTAGTGAGACGTAATAACCAGTAAAAAAAGTGATCACAATTACTTCCAGAGTTAGTTTATTATTATTTTTGGGAATTTGTTGTTGCTGTTGCTGTTGTTACTACTCGGAAGTTGTAGATCACCAAAGACTAGTTCTCTCATTTTGATTATATACTAAACAACGAACGTGGAGTGGTAGTGAGATGCAAAATATACGAGGAGGCACCAAAAATTATTCAACAAAGCAGAGTAAAAGGAAACGGGTTTTCTTGCAGTGAAACCTTCGATTAATGCAATTAACACGGTTTTTAACCGAAATTTTTATGTGCACTCGTGTTTTTGACCTTGACGTTCTAATTATTTTATTATTAGCATGAGGAAATGAAACTCAGCGATCTATTTTTGATTCCAAAAAAATTAAATATTAACATTTTCGAAAAAATATCAGTTTCTAGATTAGTAGCGCGACTTTCATTCCAACCTCGTCATTATTTTAACAATAAAACAAAATAACTAAATAAACTCGTTTTATTGTTGCATTTTTTTCTAAAAATATAAAGTCACCTTATTTATTTTCCTTTTTTTATAAAAATATCCAATTAAATCGAGTAATTGTAACTGAATTAATTGAGAAATTGCACCGTTCACCTCTCATTTGTGTAGAAAATTGCATAATTTAAATATTTAACGGTAGAAAAATTATCAATTTAGGAATCTGATGATGTTCATCTTGTGTTAAAACTATAAAAAATGAAAAATTCTGAGCAAAGTGGCCTCCGACTTAAGATGGTAACAATGAATGTGTTAATTGCAGGCTACTTTGATCAGAATTTTAATTGGTATTACAACACATTTCATCAACAATAATAATGATATTAGAAAAAATAGTGAAATTCGCATCTAATCCATGAGAGGATTTCAAAATTTCGCATTATGTAAAATATTTAAATATATGCAACGCCCACTTGGGTAAGTTTCACAATGACAACAGTTTTTTTTTTCAATTCACTACCGCATATTATTGTTTTAAATTATTGAAAATTAATTATTATTATTCCTTATTTTCGGAATTTCTACAAGGAGAAAAATTTTTGCTCTGGTTATCGCAATTAATGACAAGTTGGCGTAGAAATGTCACAGGTGACTGAATTTCAAAACCGAACGACCTTAAAATGTGGACAAGGAAATTGAAATGTCGCTTTGTGATTTATCAGTGTTGCCAACTCCATTTCAAAGTCACGGATCACTTTGATCCAAAAATGAATTTAACCGGTTTTAAACTAGTTATTATAATTTTTCCATAGCCCTCACAGATGTTGCCTTTTTTCTCTCCCAACTTTCTACCAAATAAGCTAGAGAGAGTGTGTTTTTTTCTAGCCTCAGGATGTTTATCGGTCCTTTGGCCTTCCTCTTCGTCTTCTTCCTGCCTCGCATCTCAGGTCATGGCCGTCTCATCGACCCACCAAGTCGAGCCTCGGCTTGGCGTTATGGTTTCGATACGCCACACAATTACAACGACCACGAACTCTTCTGTGGAGGCTTTACGAGGCAATGGGTGAAGAATGAGGGCAAATGCGGCGTCTGCGGAGACGCCTGGGACACCAAGTAAGGCCCCATCTGCGAGCTTTAACGCTTTCAAGGGAAAAAATAAAATAAAAAAATGTGTAGTAATAATACTAATAATAATTTTTAAATCTCCTCAAAAAACGATATCTTACGTAAAATGTTCCAAGATCGATAAAAAAATGCCCAATTAACCTACATCTAATAAAACAATCCTCTATAATTAAATTTTATTATAAAAACAGTGTTGCCAGATCAATAATATCAATATCACCAGATCCGAGTTGAAAATTTTGCCATATTTTCACCAAATTACGATTTGTATGACAAAATCTCGCGAAAAAATGCAGTTTTCAGCTTAAAAATCTACTTAAACCCCGGATTAAACTCTTGGAAAAATGCAAAAATGGCATGCATTTCGCCCTAATTTTCTGTGATTTTTCGGCTTATTTTCAACAAAATTTTGCGAAATAATTGCGTTTCTACTTGAGAAACGTACTAAAAGGCTCGAAAAATACAAAAATAATATAATTTTATAGACTTAATTTAGTTAATTATATTAATTTAGCGAAATCTGGTGAAAAACCTGAGATTTTAGTACAAAAACCTGCTTAAAAGCATTTTTTACCAAATTTTGTGTTTTCTCAGCTAATTTTTGTCTTATTTTGCTCAAAAACTTTTTTTCGAACTTCTTGTGTTTTTGTTTCTCAAGAAGATAAAAGACGCGTTTTTTGGGCTATTTTGTTGAATTTGTGGCTTGTTTTTGACAAAATTTTGTGTTTCTAGCTGACTCTGTTTAGTAATATCTTGTAAAAAACGAATAGAACTATTTTTAACCAATTTGGTGGTTTTCGATTATTTTTTTTCGAGAAAATTTGACGAACTAATCAAGTTAAAGCCTAATAAGAGTTAGGTAAAAATATCATAACATAATCTTTTTTTATAACAATTTAGTAATTTTTGAAGCGCTATGACAAACTCTCGTGAAAAAACAGAGTTTGCTTGAACTCGCGTATAATGGATTGCATACATCACAAAAAAATGTTCAAGATTGATTAAAAAAGTAAAATAAAAGTCTGGTCTAGAGCTTGTTCCAAATCTCGTGGCGAACTGACGTTGTCAAAAATGACTGAATTTTGACACTAAACATATGTTTACTATTAAAAAAATATTGTTCATAGACGTCGTATGAAATAATATTTCAAAACCACTGTTATTATTTAAAAAAATATAATAAGTAGGTAGTCGTACATAAGATGAAGAATTGTGCACAAATTATTAAATTGTTAACGCATGAACAGAATTTTCAAAAATGATATTCCTAACAATCCTTGTCTTCAAAATTTTTAGAGAAAAAAAGTACGCCTATGTATTTTTTTATCTTAACCAAGTGGGCGCTCTCCAAGTGTCTTTTCTGTCATTGTCAGTTCGCCACTATACAGGGTATTTCACGAGTGATAATGAGCCTGACAGAATTGAAAATACAACAATACATTTGCAAAGTTAACGTGGATATTTTAGATATCACATTGTTTGAAAATCCGATTATGAATCCACGATAGCTTTGCTTTCAATAATTTTATTTGTCACAACTGACATTAAATTTAGCAAAAAGTCAAAACGCATTCGAACGATGAGAAAACAGATGTGATTCTCATTTATGGTAAATTTGGGAAAAATGCTTTTGCCGTTGAGCCTTTGTAAAGACAATGTTTTATTCTGAATAGATAAGCTCAAAAAAGGTTTAAATCACTAATCACTGTTTTCCAATGATAGATAGACAAATAACCTTAAAAATTGTGTTTCCTGTCTTGTCAATTTCTTTGTGTCAGTCACGCGATATCTATGTTTTATTAATTTTAAAATTCATAATCAGAATCCATGAAGCCTATGCAAATGTATTACTGGCTGCAGTTCAAATTTGTTCAGGCTCATTATCACTCGTGAAATACCCTGTATATGGAATAAGCTCTATGCAGTTAATTATGACTAATGTCAGATATAAACAAATGAAGTTTCTTTTTATTTTCAATCTAACTGAAAACTGAAAACAAAAATGTATATGTATAATGGGTTGCATATATTGCACGTTAAAATTGTTAAAGAAATAAAAATGGTTTGTGGATATTATGAAACCGACAGACTAAAATTTTCCGTTTTCAACCAAAATTAATAGCTTTAGTATCAGTTGAGAATTTTAAATGGAAAAAATATTCTAATAGTAATCATAATTGGACAATTGCCCAATTTATCAAAATGTAATAATAAGACAATCTTCTACAGCTCTAATTTATTACAAAAATGATGAAAATGGACAAAAAGATGTATGTTTGTTATTTTAATAGTTATTTACATTCGTGTGCGATAACTTACATTTTACAGTGCGAAATGAATTTGAAGCACGACGCGCAGCGGAGTGCTTTAATAATTGAGCACTGTAAAATGGTTAACGCACAAGATTTGTATTAAGCTTTTTGGCCGACGTTTAAACAAAAATCCAAAATACAAAATTCAGAATTAATACAAATAAATACGTTTGACAATAAATATCACGGTGGCTATGCACTATAATGTCAAACAATTAAAAAAGACGCAAAAACGTCTCAGACACAAAATTTTGTTATCGTTGTCTTGTTGGTGAATTTATGCTTCAAAATGTCGAGCGATAATAGCCCCATGTGTACCCCACCAGAAATCAGAAGTGCTGCAGAAAATGTTACAACCGAGCTATTGCCCGAAAAATCGCGAGCAAGGTATGAAGCCCAGTACAATGTGTTTATAATTATAAAGTGGTGTGAAGAAAAAAGAGTTCTAAGATTGAAAGGTTGTGTGTAGAGCGTTTTATTAAAAATGTTATCATCTTACAAACAGTTTTTTTATAAATGTCTATGAAGATAATTTTGGCCGTGCGGTAAAACTGTCACTTTACACTCGTCTGTGCGTAAAATGCCCAGGCGACTGTAAATACAGTCTTTCAATAGGCGTCAATTGTACGTTAATTTGACATTTACATGTCAGGAGGCCAAAAAGTTTTTTTTCTATTTCGGTGTTAGAATAAGTCTATTCCAGCACCCAAATGACGTCATTTGAGTGCTGGAATAAATCGTTGACGTTAATTTAATTTTAGTGTCGGACTTTCTTCACAATTCTCTTTCAAATGTGAAAACAAGAATTATTTTTATTTTTTACAGCCGCCTAAAATTAAAATTTTCGTTTTTTTAAATTTAAAAATGATATAAAGCGGCAAAATAGAAAAAATAGTATAAAACACTTGTTGCAGAAGGTTCTTTAAGAACTCATTTGTGCTTGAATAGATACCTTTTAACAGCTACTTCTGCAACTAGAACCCTAGAACTCGTGCATAATGGGTTGCATACACACTAGATTTTTTTAAATCAATAAAAAAATATAAAAATATGCATCTGCATGCACCAAATATCCTCAAAGGTATATGTAAACAAGTGAACTTTCTTACTATGTTTAATGTAACTAAATAACATGTTCCAAACAATACGTAATGCCATGCGTGTATAATGGGTTGTATAATTGCAAGTTGAAATTGCTGAAAAAACTTAAAAAATGTCGGTGTAAACTATTAAAGCGATAAAACGAGACCAAGAATTTCTGATTTTTGGGGCTCCCTTGTTACTACTTTTAACGTAATTAAGAAAAACATTCCAAAAGATACACAATGTATGTGTATATTGGGTTGCATACATTACATGTTTGAAAAATAAAAATCATTAAGAAGATCAAAATTTCTATTTTTAGGGTCCCCCGCGCGCACGAGTTCGGGGGTACCTACGGACAAGGCATCATCGTGCGCAAATACACCGCTGGAGGTATAATCAACATCCGTGTGGAGCTCACCGCCAACCACTTCGGCTACTTCACTTTCGCCGTCTGTCCCGATTACAAACGCGCCACTCAAAAATGCCTCGACAAGCACATCCTCAAACTGGTCAAACCCCAAGAGGGCGTCGACCACGACCACGCCACTCGCTACTACCCCAAAGAGGGCAACAAAGTCTACGAAATGAAATATCGGCTCCCGAAACAAACCTGCGAACACTGTTTGTTCCAGTGGCGTTACATCGCCGGCAACAACTGGGGGAATTGCCCCAATGGGACCGGCGCTGTTGGCTGTGGCCCCCAGGAGGAGTTCCGGGCCTGTGCCGACATTACCATTTCCGGGAAGGACGTCCAAGCAATGATTCCCGATCAGGAGGAAACTACAGAAGTGGCGACAACGGTGGCGCCACCTACGTCACAAGACTCACATAGCCCCCTCACGGCGCTTATCCTCAGTCTGGTTTCTTTTTTAGTCGTGTTTTTGATTTTGTCCCTTTTATATATTCATTTCTACCAAGTTGGTAGACAGTTAAAGAGTTGGTTGAAAGGGGACAAAGAACAAGCGCCACTACCACCACCTAGGAGCAAAAGGAATCGGAATATGGATGGAATGGATGAGGTTGACTTGAAAGTTGAAAGTTTGGCCTGAATTATTCAAGTTGGTGGGACTGATTGCAATAAGTTTTTTTGTAAATAAAGTTTTAAAAAATAATAATTTATTAAAAAATGAAGGGATTTTCAATTAACGTGTGCATTGCTGCGTTTTAATATAATAAGAACAAACAAAACATTCTTTGGTGAACGGCCAAATAAGTTCGAATTTATGGCAATAACAATTATCTCTAGTATTCAAACACAAACTCGTAACCATACAAAAATATACTATTTTTGGAATTCGAAATGAAGCTTAAACACTAGTCGCAATACCTTTTCGGATGAGTACTTCCTTAATATTAACATCCTCTTCACTGGAGGTGTCAATGAGTAGCATTTCAAGAATTAAATCACTTTTATGAAACTCGTCTCTGTCTATATTTGTTATAACACCAACAAATTGTTTCTTCAAAATCAATTCTTTGAAACTCTCACAGTCTTCCATCGTCCACTTGTTCTTGATTGGCTTAATACCTGGAAAACGCAAAAATTCATAAAAAAAAAGGAATACTAAAACTGTTCGAAGTTTCGAACTAGTTGCAAGCTAAAACTGTTTACATCTAAACCAGTTCAGCCTCTAAACTGTATACAAATACAAACGAAATCTAAAATAGTTTAATATTTTTTTATAATTCTTCTATGTGTTTAATATTATAGGAAAAGGGGCAAGTTTTCTGTGAACAACATCATTCTAATCATTTTTTTTTTGTCAATATTACAATAGTAACCTTAATGAACGTAATTAATGATTACTTAACCAAAAATAAACAGATTTCCTGTTGGTTTGTGACGAAAAAAATATTCTTAAAACCTGAGAACTTTGCATATTTGTTATTAACAATCTATTAGAGCTATAACTTCAATTTAATCATTTTTAGTTTTTTTGTTGTGAAACATTTCGAATTAATGTTTTTATTTTCTCACATAAATTATCGCAAAGTTAATTGATTCCATAGTTTTGAAGTAAAAATTTTTCCTTCTCATTGGCCACATTCAAAAAGCTGTAACATTCAAATGTTATCCATTTTAACATTAACAGTCCTACTTGAAGGTCTATTTACATAACATCCTGTATACAAAAGCATAAAACAAAACGTTGCAACGTTAAAAACGTACGTATTACCGACACGGTAGATTACTATTTTATCATTTTAGTCGTGACTAGTTTTACTCATGTACGATTTTAGCTGTAAACCGACGTTTTTAAATTACCAGAAATTTTTGCCTTCAGTGCTTGGTAGGGCAAACTCATGTACTTCGCATCCAGTGGTACCAACTGATGCAATTTCAGGTTAGTGTAATAACCAAAATCGCAATAAAATACACTGATTGAGGTCGCATGGATGACTTTCAAAACATTGGTTCTGTACCATTGACCATCATCATGTTTCGATGCGTAGATTTTACCAGGAACGATGTCTTCAAGTGCCATGGGACTAAACTGAATGTCTTTGTAATGCTCTTGCATTTCATCCATCATTGACTTTAAACGAGCAAAAGAATCCAATGGTTGGACGAAAAAATTCCATGGATTTACAGCGAATGGGATATTGACGTTGAAATAATCACCTATCTTGGGCAAATCAGGCTTTCGGAGAGAACCCCCAGATGGGACATTTTCTGAAAATGTAAATTGTCAAATCAAAAAATTACAGATTCCTGTAATTCTTACTGTTGGCGTCATTGTATTGTACCAAATTGAGCAGTCTTTTCCGGTTTATTTCATTATTATTGCTAACGTCAATACTAAAAAATCGAATTTTTAAACCAATCAGAATCACCAACCAATCAAAGACTTACTTTTGTTGCAGTTCGGCTTCCACCGAAATCGACTTATTGATAAACACAAGTACGCCATCTGTCGTACGTTTGAAAAACTCCACCCAAGCAACGTTTTCATTATCATAACTGATAATTTTAAGCAATACTGGTCGATCTTTCGGGAGCAATTTCTCAGCTTTTTTCACAAAATCACTCGGTATTTTCTCAATCATAAATCGGACTTTAATTGCTTGACTTGGATATTGACTCAAAACGTTATCTAATTTATCCAATTCATACATTTTTTCATTGTTCACATTAACAACTTGTGCATTTCCTTGATCAATAAAATAAATTTGTGCCAAATCACCTTTTGGTGACCAATCAACAATCGTTGCTCTGAGCCATTTTTGACTCACTTTGCACCTAACTAAGTAGATTTTACCGACACTGTTTTCTTTGGTTGGTTTAGAGAGCGAAGAGATATTAGATAAGTTTCTCGTTAAATTTTCTAAATCTTCCATCAAACTAAAATAACCGATAGTACGGATCTGGATGTAGACATCACCATTTGGTTCAATATTCGACACGTAAACTTCACTAATCGACTCTTTTTCCAGGACCGGCATTGCCGATTCAATCGTCAACGACGAAATCAATTCTTCATTGATCGATGCACCGGAAGTGACATCATATATAACCACCGGAAGTGTAACATCACCGGTATCACCTACAAAATTTTTTTTGTTAGTCAAGACGCAAACCATTTCATACAGTAAACTAACTTATATCATCAGTAACAATCTCTAATACGAATTCTTTCCCGACTAAAGCTGTCAAATGTTCGGAATCAAGTGACGCTTCATACAAATCCTCTAAACCATCCAATCGACATACAAAAGCTTGCGCTTGTTCCGTCGCAAATTGTCGTTTCAATAAATAAACGTTATCGATCGAGACGTGTACTTCTTCACCGTAATCGATGAGAAAACAGTCGACGATTCCATGTTCTGGGATTTTTAACGCCCTCACTCTTATCCATGACCCCTCGTGTTGTATAACATAACAACTACCCGAATTAACAACATTTGCTTTCAGTTCTGTTTTGTAATTGTTGTAAAAAGTCTCCATAGTTTCAGTCATTTCAACAAACTTTTCCTATTGATTTAAATATGTAAAAAAAAATATCAAGTTGTAGAAAAAATTTCTCTTACGTATTCAGGTGTTCCGCAATGTTGACACCAGATTTCGTTAACGGAATGTGCAACTGTCACAACAGCGTATAAACGATTACTGTCACCGAAATTGACAGTGTTGCAAGGGACGGAAACATCAGCAATGTTGAGACTTATATCGAGTTTTTTACCTTTCTGCAAAACCTATGGAGTTTTTAATAGTTCGAAATTAGGCACAGTTAGTAAGCAAGCACAGATCTAGAACAATGTTATTATGGTGGTGAATAAAGCGATATTTCCAGCCCTCAATGCCACCCTACTGAAATAATTATGCAAAACACCACACCATTATTGCACTTACAATCGGACAAATTCTCAGAAAATATTCCATTATAAAGTGTATTAAGAGAATTTGAAGCCTTCTCTTGCTCACATGAATGCTCACAGAATTTTTGATATTTTTCAAAACCGTTTTTATAAAAATAAGACACCAAGGTTGACACAAGTTTTGACAACTGATAAAATTTATAATTTTTTTAACATAAACATTTCCAATAAATATTTTTGTACATTTATAAAATGTATAAACATATCCTTGTAAAACAATAAATAATAAACCGTGTTTATTGAGAAAAAAATTATTAGTATGGTAATCTCAAAAGTTAAAAAAAACTGGTAGTTTACTCAAAAAATTTTTTAAAATTTTTGTAAGTCAAACATTTTTCAAGAAAATGTGAGGTTTACAAAAAAAAATTGTACAGCAACAATTTTTTTAACAAGCCCGTTGCCTAAAAAAATTGTGGTAGGTCCCATTAGAAAAAAAAAAGTTTATATGTTTATCTCGTAAGTACAAAGTGGTTATAAATGATTTTCATCTAGCCAGCAGTGAATTTTCCATGTAAAATAAAAAATGCCGCTTGACGAAAATAGGGGTACCCACTTGTTTTAAATTAAAATTAAAAAATCGCCATTTACAGTTGGAGACAAAATACTTTGGTCGTCAATCTCACTTGAGTGACATTAAATTGTAAAGCATGCTTTAGGACTGTTAACCTTATTTTTAGCCACTGTCAATCATAGTTGACAAGTTGTATGTACATTTTTTTGATAGGAAAATATAATAGCTGTCATTAATTTAAAATTGTCATTCATTTTAACGTTAAAGCTTGAATTACATTAAAGTGTCAGAAAAGTGACGACCAAAGTATTTTGTCTCCAACTGTATTAAGCGTCCACTTCGAAAATAGACTTCAATTATAAATTTGTTTTCTTCCAAAGTATACATTATTATCAATTATTATTGGAAATTAGTTGAAACAATAAAAGTTTAATTAACAACAATTTATTCTTAATTAATAAGTGACACTAATAACAGAACTAGAGTTTCAAAACAAGTAAAGCGGCACAAATAAAGTTACATGCAAAAAAATTCCAAAGCTGACTAGATGAAAATCATTTATCACCAATCTGTATAAACAATTAATGCATAATCATTTTTTTTTTGAAAAGCATTTTTATAGCCATTGCACACCTACATGTATAAATTTATTTGTCAAAAATATTGATAGTTTCCAGACTTTTGAAATGGCCTTTAAATTTTGAACTTGTCATTTGTGTTTTCTGTCATTGTGACGTTTCGAAATGTCAAATTTGACGTTAAAGCCTGCTTCACATGAATTTCCATTTTTTGATGAATTTTATTTTTAAATGTTATGTAACTTAGTGTTATTTCAGGATAAAATTTCTTCACTTTGCCCTAAGTGTAGTAAAATTTATAGTTTTTTATTATTATTATTTTTTTTAATAATTTTAAAATTATAACATTGATTGGGAAAACTCAGAATTTATTCGATTTAAATCAATTACTCAACCACGTTTCAATTTTCCCAAATATTTCTTGCATCAACACTGTTAATTTCTTAAGATTTAATATTTTTCAAAACTGAATTTGATTTAAAAAATTATGCAAATTAAAGTCAGACGTAACAAAAATCTCTATTACTTTAATACCATCGTGGATAAAAAATGAGACATCAAAGTCATTCTGTTGACACTGACATGTGAAACGGTCTTTAGATAATAACCTCAACTTTAAATTTGTCACTTGTAATATTTCTGTCATTTTGACTTTTTGAAATGTCAAATTTGACGTTAAAGCCTGCTTCACAGTGAATTTTCACCAAGCGTCAAAAATGTATTATTGTCCCATTTTATTCTTTTTTTAAATGCTATAACCGTTATTTTGTCAAATCAATTTTTTAAAAACTTGTTATTTGTTATTTTAAGTTAAAATTTTTTCACTTTGCCCTGAGTTTAACTTCAAATTGTTTTTTTAATAATTTAAAAATTATAACACTGATTGGGAAAACTCAAAATTTGTCCGATTTAAATAAATTACTCCCCAATCACGTTGCAATTTTCCCATCATCAACATTTTTAACATTTCAGGTTTTAATATTTTTCTAAACCGTTTTTGTGATTTTAAAAATTATGGACAAAAAAAATGACACCAAGATCATTCTGTTGATATAACATGTGAAACGGTCTTTAGATAATAACCACAACTTTGACGTTAAAGCCAGCATCACAGAAAGTGTTAAAAAAATTATTTATTTATCACATCAATTTCTTAAACATAATAAGGTTATTTCAGGATAAAATTCTTCACTTTGCCATCAAGTTATAGTTTTTTTAATTTAATTGACACACTTTTGTATCTTTTCTTGAAAAAACTCGGAATTTGTCCGATTTAAACTAAATTACTCCCCAGCCACGTTTCGATTGCCCCAAATACTTACATTATCAGGATTGCAATGTTGGAGAACAAATCTCCCGTGATATTTTTCAATCGAAACAAAAGGACTATTATCGATAATTTGAAGCCAATCTGGTGGCAATTGTTCATTAAATCGGTCTCTATAATCAGCTTCAATTTGCCACATCCACACTGCATTATTATGTTTCTCCAACATTGGAGGAATTCGTTCAATAATATCATCATTACTCGAAAGCAACAATGACCTTCTTTGACCATATTTCTGCATCAGATAATCAAGAGCTTTTTGTGAAGCGTGACGTTCGGCGGCATTTTGATCGTAGAAATCTTCCGGATAACTTGAATATATATGTGGGCCAACCTAATTGAAGCAACTTTTACTTTGAACACAATTAAATTGATTTGTCGATTCTTACCGTAAGTTTACAATGCCATTGTGGCATTTTCGATTTTTTCATTTTTGTTTCAGTAAATGTCACTTCGACGTCGCCTAATTTGTGGTAAGTGACGAAATTTCGAAGGTCGCTGATAGGGTCGCCAGTTTTGATGAAATCAGGCGATAACTGCAACAAAAAAATCATTCAACAAGACAGAAAAAATAACCTTGTTGTTTCACCTTTAACATAATTTTGATTTTACTTCCACTTAAAAATATATTCTGACAAAGAAAGTTAATTGCAATGAAAGTTATACTTGGTGTTTAGACTAGTCGAACTTTAGACGAAGAAGTTCGAGTCAAAACTGTTGCAAATATCGCGTATTTATTTATTTTAACGATAGAAGTTTTAAGTGTGAAGAGAAGCATCAAGGGGTTTAAAATATACAAACATTGTAAAACACTTTAACAAACAGTAAGAACACAAAAATTTTGTTAAAAACAAGCCAGAAATGCATTAAAATGCATAAAATTAAAGTGAATATTTAAAAAAATCGAAAAATTTTGTTTAAACAAGCAAAAAAATTACAAAATTAATCAAAATTGATATTATTTTATAGCTTGTTTGGTTTTAAAACTAGAGGCTTTTTATTTTAGTTTTTATGTTACTTGGTTTGTTTCAATCGATTTAACTGATTTTTGAGCTAAATTAAGACAAAAATAGGGCGAGAAACTACAAAATTTAGTCGAAAATACGTTTTTGTACTAAAATCTTATTTTTTTGCGAGATTTTGCTAAAACAAAGTAAAAATCAATAAACTAAGTCAAGAATTATTTTATTTTTCATTTTTAGAGCACTTTAGCATCACGTTTTTCAGTTAGAAACACAAAAATAATGTCATTTTACCTTTTTGGAGTGTTTAAGCACGTTTTTAAGGCAAAAAAGCAAAGTTTCAAAAATTTTGTTTAAAATAGACTGAAAAATTACAAAATTAAATAGTTTGTTTCACTCGATTAGCTGGCTTTTGGAGCAAAATTCAGACAAAAATAAGTCGAAAAAAACACAAAAATTGGTGCGTTTTTGTACTAAAATTTCAGCTTTTTCGCAAGATTTTGTTAATACAAACCAAGAAAACAACAAATTAAGACGGAAATTGTATTATTTTAGCACTATTTTCAACTAGAAACGTAATTATTTCGTTAACATTAAGTCAAAAATTCAACAAATTCAACAATTCACAAACAGTGTTATTTTTGCATTTTTCCAGGGGTTTAAAAATGTTTTTAAGATTAAAATTTCAAAATTTTGAAAAATTTCGTCTAAACAGACTAAAAAAATACAAAATTAAAGTGAAATTGGTATTATTTTTTAGCTTGTTTTGCTCGACTTACTTCGTTTTTGAACTAAAAGTTTATTTATTTTGAAAAATGTTATCTAAACATGCTGAAATATCAAGAAAGAATTTAAAAAGATGTTATTTTTTTGTTTTACTTGTTTTAATTGATTTTTGAGCAAAATTCAGATTTTATTTTTGCCTTTCTCGAAAGCACATTTTTCAGCTAGAAGCACAAAAATTTCTTTGAAAATAAGCTAAAAAGTCATTACAATAAGTCAAAACGATGTTATTTTTGCTTTTTCTTAGTATTTAAGCACGTTTTTGAAGTATGACCAAAAAAATTTGAAAAATTTCGTTTAAACATTGATATTATTTTTCAGCTTGTTTGAAACAAAGGTATTTTATTTTGCAAAATCTTGCATCCAAAAGAATTGATCTGAAATCAATTGATTTGATTTGAAATCCAAAAAGAATTGATATTGATGATATTTTATTTGTTTCACTCTTGTGTTCTTAATATAATTTTTTTTTTGCTTCGAGGTACTTAATTTTGTAAATCCCTGTTTTTTCAATATACCTTGAAAAAAATAATAAAATATAAAATACGCGTCACCTATTTTTACGCATTCTATAATAGGTATATCTCAAATTTACGAAAACCGGAAACAATGAGATTTAAAAACGTGATCGAATTACTCATTTTTTCAATAATAAAAAAAATAAAAATCATTACCTTATATCCCGCCGCATAGTCTGTCGTAGGACTGCTCGTCCCGCTATCTGTCTCCGTCGTAATCTCCTTCATAATCTTGGTAATCCTCTTCATGGTACTCGAAAACGGTGAAGCTTCCTCCTCCTTCTCCAAACTATTCCTCTTCACCTCCACCACATTGTCCTTCTTTACCTCTTCCTTCCTCTCAACTACCACAACCTTCGACGGCACTTGGGGCTTCCTATACCCCGATCCACTCACAAATTGATTATGCGAAACCGCCGCCAATTTCGGCGTATTATAATTTTTTCTCATCATTGGTTTTTGTTTCGGTCGCCATTTGGTGGCATTCGGAGGCGGTTGTGCCATTGCTCGATTGAATTTCGGTGCAATTCTGACATGTTTTTTCGGTACAGATTTTTGTTTACGTACCATACTCGAAATGTGAGCGGTTTTTTCCGATACTTGTGCATCGACGAAAATTTCACCTGAAGGACTTCGTGATGTTATAATGGTGGGAATTGATGTTATGAAACTTTCAAGGGATTTGTAGCCGAGTTTAGCGTAGGGAATTCGCTCGCCGAGAAGGGTGCGGTAGTCATCTGGAAGAGGAATTTCAAGTTTTGTGTTTGAGTGATTTATGACACCGCATCGGGTTGTGTCGTAAACTCGTAAAATAATAAATTTAGTGAAATTTATTTTACACTTTTACAACTTTTCTCAAACGGGGCATTTGAAAGAAAATGATAAAAACTATTTTTTACGTAAGAAAATGTTATAAAGTGGAGTTTTGTGTAATTTCTAAAATTTGAAAACTAAAAAACTTGAGAAAAAAGACCAAAATAATAATAATAATAATAATAAATAATAAAGTTTGTCAAAAATTAAATAACCAATTAGGTGTTCGTTCAGTAGTTTTATACAGGTTATTCATAAATATGAAGCAATATTTGAACCTCAAAAATGACCCATAAAATGATGTTAATTTAAATAATAACTCGTGTCCTATCTCTACTGATAAGAATTTTACAGTTGTGGGACCATGGTCCTTTGTTGCCGTGGATATCATTTATTCAAAATCCCTACTTTTTGATTTCTGCGTTGTGAGTCCTCAGATTAAATTAAAATATCTTTGAAACGGTCTATTTTAGGGGTTTTAAAGGTTATGCGTTTTTTATTCGAAATTGATTACTCTATCTATCTGGGCAATAAAAAATTGGTGTTAAGAGAGCAAAAAAATGGAAAAACACAGGAAATGTGACCTGCAACTGCTGGAACCGGAAATTGAGTGGATGTATACGGTTTTCGTGATTACCAGTTCAAAAGGTATGTTATCACAAGGAAATGTTCTAAATTTTATAATATTTGGTCAAATAGTTCCAAAGTTATTACAAAAAAATCAATTTTCCATACCCACATTCCAAGGGCTGTAAAATTCTTATCAGTAGAGGACACGAGTTATTATTTAAATTAACATCATTTTATAGGTCATTTTTGAGGTTCAAATATTGCTTCATATTTATGAATAAACCTGTATAAAAAAAATTGCTTTGCTCTGTAAATTGTATTTTTTTCAGTCATTAAACAATCGTGAGTTTTGTTTATACTAAATCATCAGATTTTTACGTTTTTTCTGCCAACCAATCAATTTCACCGCATCTAGTGATTATCCGGTGATTTGATGTAAATTTTTCTAAAGATTCTAATACAGGGTGTTTCACGTAATTTTACGAGGTCTGCGCCTGTAAGATGCAATCAATAATACATATTCCGATACGAATTCGATTACAAATTTGGAAAAATTGGATAATCTTCTCTAGTTTGTTCACCCTTTAAAAAATTACAACGTTTTTACTTAGTTAGTGATTAAGATAGATAAACTACAATCATTTTCATGCCGTCTCTTGATAGAACAAATGATAATTGTTTCTGAAAAACTGCAGTTTGTGACTATTAATGAAACAGTGATTAGTTTGATAAGTACTGTCATGGGTTTCCAAAAATTAAATAATTAAATTTGTATTTTTTGTATCCAGTATTCTGTGACTTTCGTATATTTGGGTGCGTACATTAGGCGCAAGCCTCGTAAAGTTATGTGAAACACCCTGTATATATTAGGTGATTTTTTTTGGAAATAAAAAAACTGTTGTAACTTTGCGGTTACAACAAAACAACACAAACATTTTCGAGCATTTTCGTTTTTCACCTCGACTTGATTATTATTTAGACAAATTTTCTCAAATTCCTATTTTATTACGAGATTTTACTAAACAGGGATAAAATAGATTACTTTTTTCGAATGCTTTAACAGGGACATTTTTCGGCTAGAAACACAATGATTTCGTTAAAAAACAATCAAAAATGGTGTTATGTTTGCCTTTTTCAAGTGTTTAAGAAAGTTTTTGAATTACAATATTTATGTTATTTTGTTTGTTTCACTTTTCAATTGGTTTTAGTTAATAATTTAAGACAAAAATAAACCAAGAAACCACAAAATTTCGTCGAATATGCTTTTAAGCACATTTTTATAACAAAATAAAAAAATATCAGCAAATTAAGTCAAAAATTATAGTATTTTTGCATTTCTCGAGCGTTTTAGCACGTTATTCAGCTGGAAGCGCTTTGTAAAGTTTCGTTAAAAATGAATCAAACATTCAACAAAATAGTCTAAAAACGGAGTTATTTTTGCCTTTCTCGAGTATTTAAGCATGTGTTTAAGGTAAAAACAACAAAATTTCAAAAAATTTTAAAATAGGCTGAAAAATTACAAAATTAAAGCGAAATTTTTATTATTTTTCCAGTGTGTTTTGTTCGACTTACTTTATTTTTGAACCAGAGACTCAATTATTTTGCAAAATCTTCTCCTTAAAAATTGATGTTATTTTCTTTGTTTTACGTGATTTAACTGACTTTTGAACAAAATTCAGACAAAAATAAGTCTAAAAAACATAAAATTTGATCGAAAAGCTTTTAAGCACGTTTTTGTATTAAAATCTCAGATTTTTCGAAAAACAAACAAAAAAATCAACAAATTAAGTCGGTAATTCTTACATTTTTTGATCGTTTTAGCACGTGTTGTAGCTAAAAATGCAATTATTCCGTTAAGAAACAATTCAACAAAATAGACTAAAAATAGTGTTACTTTTGCGTTTTTCAAGTGTTTAAGCACGTTTTTGAGATTACAAACAAAAAAAATTACAAAATCAAAGCAAAATTGTTGTTATTGTTTTGCTTGTTTCGCACGATTTTCTTCGTTTTTAAAGTAGAGACTCGTTTATTTTGCAAAATATTATTTAAACTAACCAAAAAGTCACAAAAAGTCGAGAAAACAGCAAATTTAGTCGAAAAAGCTTTTGAGCACATGTATTAAAATCTCAGGTTTTTCGCGAAATTTTGTCACAACAAACCAAAAAATCATCAAATTAAGTTAAAAACTACATTATTTTCGCATTTCTTGTTTTCCAACTAAAAACGCAATTATTTTGCAAAAATGTATTAAAAATAAAGCCGAAAAATCACAGAATTAGACCAAAAATTTTGTTATTTTTCCCTTTTCCAAAAATTTAAGCAGATTTTGAAGCTGAAAATGCGTTTTTTCGCCTGATTTTGCCATATTGAGTCAAAAATAACTAAATTATTATATTAAAATAGATTATACCTATAATATTTTTACACAACTTTTAGTCGTTCACCACTCATTTTATGTAAAAAAAAAAAACTTTAGACACTATTGCAAGGAGTAAAATCGTAATCATGTATTTTATGGTGAAAATAGGTGTAAATTTGGCAATTTTTTTAAATTCGAATTTAGTATTTTTTTGAGCTGGCAACGCAAACGTAATTTGTGTTTAATTGAATCGAAAGTTTTGTAACTAATTTACAAACAAAGAAAAATTCCTTCAGGACTTAAACCTATTTAACCGGATATCCCACTGAGAGATGGATTATAATCTCATTCATGAACAATTTTAGGAAATTTCTGAATTTTATTAGGAAAACCCCTAGTTTATTTTTATTGCAAGGTAAAGATACTCCTGTTTTAATCAACTCAACGCCAAATAATAATTGTATTAAAATCTCAGGTTTCTAACGAGATTTCACTAAATTCAAACTTTTGCCGGTTTTAAAATACTCAAGACCAAATACCCCAGAAAAAAATCAGGATATTATAAATCACAAAATGGTTTACTTTTGACAGAAATGGGCCCTGCTGACCCCCACAGGCCCTAACCAGGAATTGAAATAAAAGAATTTGGGCAAAAATCAAGTAGTTTGGCCAGTGTCTGGCAACCTTGATCGATCTTTGGTAAAGTTCAAGGCAGTTTAAAACCCACTTTGTTTGCTTTTTTAAATTTTGTTCAATTTAATAAAACAAAAATGAAATTTTGTTTGCATTAAAATTTATGCTGACTTATCACACTTATCTTATCTTGGGAGACCTGAGAGGTTGTTGGAGTCTGTATCTGACTTCTAACAACTTCTTTCACCCCACTTGAGAGACGATGGATTTATGGGACACTACAGAGTGGTAAAAAATACAAAAGGAGAGAAAAAAACAATAGTTTTCTTTAAGAATTTCCAATTTAATACAAATTGATTTATGATTGTAACAAATTTAAGGTTTTCGTCAGTTTTTTCTTGTGTTTTCATTTTATAATCATCTACAGTAACATTTCTTGACTCTCGACCAAAAAAAGTGAGAAACTTTGAAAAATAAAACGTGAGAAATCTGGAGGAGCAAAAACCGCAATTAATCAACTTTCACTCCTACGACAATGCACAATAACTGTACCAAAGTGCACACTACCGTCATTTCCGCTTGAGAAAAACTGCAAAATTGCACAACATGCAACAGCCCCCCAAGCCCACTCACCTTCCAACTGCCGGAGTGTGACCTGCCCCTTGGTAGAGATAAGACAGGAGCGTATCCTGGAGATAATCTCATTCCTGAACTCATCCATCTTCAAACGGGGACACCAAGTCCACGACACTACTGACACTAACCTACATTCATCGAAAATCGTTTGTGACACTCACGCCCCACTCCTCATAGTAGGGGTGGGCCGAACAACCCCCACAACACCCAACTAATTGAAACTGTCTTTAATTTTCCCCAAATCAGATAATTTTGAAGCGGATCAAATAAGTTGCACAATTTTTGATAAAATGTCAACTGTCAAATTGGTAATGCAATGTTGCAATGCCGCCAAATGGGCAAAAAGGCTAAGGTGAGGGTGAAATGAGCGCTTAAGGCCAAATTACCCAACAGAAATTTGCAAGAAATACAATACTGATTACTAATTAATTAATGATTTTTTTTTTGTAAAACTGAAAATAAGAAGAGCGTGGCTAGGGTTACGTCGCACTAATGACCTTTTTTTAATCAAATTATTAGAAGTATGTGTTTAGTTTAAAGTTTCAGTGAATTACGTTATAACTTGTATTTTGTCACCCTATCAGACATTTTATAATACATTTTTTACCAAATTATTTCAATTTGTAAGGTATGCAACCAACAAAACACCGTAATTAAAATATTTTTTGGGTTAATTTATTAATAAAAATTTATTTATTAGTTACTTACTAACGCATCTGGTGGCTCTAACATAAAGAGTAAATATTTCAGACATCAAAGTTTTTTTTAGTGTGTCACCCTGGTATTGCGTGTCCATAGCCACTTCCAACTTTCAAACAAAAAGTTAGGTTAAAAATTTGAAAAAGTGAAAATTCTAGTGCTTGTTTGTGAGCCAAATTAACGATGCCAAGGAGAATAAGAGCAAGACGCGAGGTAATTAAACAATTTATTACAGTTTAAAAGTTACAAAACAGTTTGTATAAAAGACTAATCTAGTTCAATCTTCTGGTTTTTTAATGAGCCCCCATTTCTCGGCTAATTTAAGCGCGTCTTCTGCTACTTTAACAATTGTTTGTTTATTCTCATCGGGGAGTAGTTTTAACGCCATGAGAATTTCCATAATGTCAGTTTCCATCAATTTTTCGGCCAATTCTTTGGAATTTTCGATCACATTTCTCACAATACACACTCCTCGGTATTGTAAACTAGCCACCGGATTGGCCAACAAGACATGGAAGCAGTCCAACCAATTCTTTGATTCGAAAATCTTCTCGCAGCACTTTTTACTATTTCCTGTGAGGATGGCCAAAGCCCCTGAGGCTGCCATAGCCGTATCAGCATCCTCATCCATCGCCAAAGACACGAAAAACTTAATTTTGTCGTTTTTCCCCTCATGGGTTTTGATCACATCTGGTGACATGCACATATTGGTCATGCATTGGGTGGCAGCCCTGCACAAATACTCGTGGTCTTCAAACATATAATGCTCGATTTTCGGCAGCCCCCCTTCTTTCAGAATTCTCTGTCTTGCACTTTCGCTCATTTGGGCGATGTTACACAGCCCCATGAGTGCCTCAAAGTTCTCCAACCCGGAACAATCCGGGTGCAAAAGCCCCACTAGAGGTCTAATCACCTCCAAGGCTCTTTGACCCGGAAACGCCACTTCCGGATTCATCGTAATCGCAATTCGGGCTAAAGCTTGCGCTGCGTGTCTTTTCCCCTTTTCAGTCCCTTTTAAGGCTAAAGGAATCAAGGCTTTGGAGCCCCCTTGTGACACCACAACCCCTCTCAATTCCTGTTCGCTGCACAAGGAATTGAAAACGCGCGAAATTAGTTCACGTGAATTGGGGCTTTCGGTCTTGCTGAGGGCCACAAGGGCTGAAGTTACGCCTTCTTTGCCCAAAACTAGGATTCGTTTTGTTACGAAATCTGGGTCGTCGAGTTCGTGTTCTTCCGGAATGTGTTGTTTAGCGAATTTTGCCAACTCGATCATTTCCGGGATGACTTCTTGTTTCTCATAGGCGTTGCAGAGGTTGACGAGAGTTGTTACGACGCCGAAAAGGCAGGATTGGTCGCCGGTTTTTGCGAGTTCGATGAGGGATTGCAGCGCGGGGCGGTCCTCCACCAGTTTTTCTTTCACTTCAGCGTCGAGGGTTAGATACGAAAGGCCTGCAAAAGGGTTAATTCTGAATCAAAAAAATCAAAAACTCGGATTTTTTATATAAAGTTTGTTTCTTTGCAGTGTTGCCAGTTCCGAGTTGAAAATATTAAACTTATTTATTTTCATTTATTTTACAAAATTACGATTTAAATCTTTCCAAAAATGTCAAAACTTTACATAAACTGAGTGTCTAAAGCCTAAGAATTAGATAAACATATTGTATATATTTTTTAACAGTTTAGTGATTTTTAATTCAGTGTTGCAAAATCTCGCGATTTTATTTTAACTTAAAATTTTGCTTAAACTTTCAAAAAAGGGACAAATGGTAACATTTTCGGCCTTTGTCGGGTTGTTTTTAACAAAATTTTGCGAAATAAATGTATTTCTAGATGACACACGTGCTAAAACATCCGAAAAATGTAACAATAATATAATTTTGGACTTGATTTGGTAATTTTTTGGTTTGTTTTAAAAACGTACTTTTTTTCTCGTTTATTTGGCGTTGAGTTTATTGAAACAGGAGTATCTTTACCTGAGTTGCAATAAAAATAAACTAGGGGTTTTCCTAATAAAATTCAGAAATTTCCTAAAATTGTTCATGAATGAGATTATAATCCATCTCTCAGTGAGATATCCGGCTTAATAGGATCAAGTCCCAAAGGAATTTTTCTTGGTTTGTAAATAAATTAGTTACAAAACTTTCGTTTCTATTAAACACAAATTCGTTTGCCCTGCCAGCTCAAAAAATAAAATTTACTAGATTCGAATTGAAAAACAAAACAAATTTACACCTTTGCAGTAGTGTCTAATGTCTAACGTAATATTCAACCTAATTTGCTGATTTTTTGGTTTGTTTTACCGAAATCTCACGAAAAATTTAAGATTTCAATACAAAAACGTGCTTTAAAGCTTTTTCGACCAAATTTTATGTTTTCTCGACTTAATTTTATGATTTTTAGGGGTGTTTAGTCAAAGGATTTTGCAAAATAAATGAGTCTCTACTTTAAAAACGAAGTAAGTCGAGCAAAACAAGCTAAAAAAACAATACCAATTTCTCTTTAATTTTGTAATTTTTTAGCCTGCTTAGACGAAATTTTTCAAATTTTTTGTTTTTAATTTCGAAAACGTGCTTTAACACTGGAAAACCCAAAAATAACACTATTTTTTATTTCTTGATTTTTTGGTTTGTTTTAGCGAAACGCAAACTTGAGATTTTAGTACAAAAACGTGTAAAACTAAATTTTGTGGTTTTTCTCTTATTTTTTGCTCAAAAATCAGTTAAATCAAGCGAAACAAAGAAAATATTAATTTAATTTTTTGTGGTTTTTAAGCGTATTTGGAGAAGATTTGCAAAATAAATGAGTCTCTGGTTCAAAAAGGAAGCAAGTCGAGCGAAACAAATGAAGAAGTTATTCAATTTTGATTTAATTTTGTAATTTTTCAGGCTGTTGAAATGAGATTTTTCGTTTTTTAGTTTTTAATCTCACTCGAAAAACACTGTTTTTAGTCTATTTTATTGAGTTTTTAACTTTTTTTAACGAAATTTTTGTATTCCTAGCCGAAAAATGTGCTTTCGAAAAAGGCAAAAGTAAATTGTCATTTTTAATCCTATTTAATAAAATCTCGCAAATAACAAACAGAACTACCATGCGATCAAAAAAAATAAAAAAAATAGAGTATGCGGTGTTTAACGTCCTTCAGATGGCAATCCTGATTTTTGACGTCAAATGTCAGCGGAAACTCTGACAAGTTTGCGTTTTATTCGTTTTGAGTGAAATAATGTTCACTTTAGAGCAGAAAACTTTTATTGCTGCAAGTTATTACAAAAATGTTGTACAAGACGAAAATGGTAAATGGTCATTTTCACTTCCAGGAAAATTTAGTGTTGCCAACTGTCGAATAGTAATCGTCGCCTACTCTAATTTATTTATTTTTTTTTTGATCGCACGGTATTTTTAACGAATTTGGTGGTTTTCGTGGTTTTTTTCTGAGAAAAAATAGGTGACAAAATCAAGTTTCTGGTTGAAAAACGTGGAAAATGCTCGAAAAAAATGCAAAAAACAGTGTATTAATTTTTTGTAAATCACCAGGCTAGCCAGATTTTGCGAAATTTCACCAGACCTGGCAACACTGTTTCATTCATCATAATTTTAACAAAAAAATTTGACAGTCGTAGTTTTTGATTGACACAAACGTTGCCAACCTAATAACATCAAATGTTACTTACCTTCCGCAGCCCACTTTCTGATATCCGTGTCATTCCCCGGATGCACCAAAAACCGTCTACAAGCCTCGGCCAGTTTCAAATTCGACCCTTCAGCAAACGGTTTCATAGTCGCATCAGTACCTCCCGAACTCCCCAACTTACACAACCCAACCAAAGCCCTAACTCTAATCCCATCATCTTTAGATTTATACAAAGTTTTCAAAATGTTAACCCCTTGTGCTATAATCGCTTTCGCCTTATCAGCTTTACTCGCAGCAGCGACAATACACTCACAGGCGACTTTCTGTTGGAGTAAATCATCGGTATTGGCCATAACAAGAATCATCTCCATGATCCCTTCTTTACCGACAATGGCATTCCCTACGTCTAAAGGCCCACGCAGGAGCGCCGTTATCGCCACCACAACTCTCACTTTCGACTCAATATCAGGCGTGAGAAGTTTATCCTTGATGAAATCCTGGATTTTCCCCATGAATTTCTCACGAGCTGCATCGTAATACATATTTTCGTAGATGCGAGACAAGCAAACAGCAGCGATTGTTCGAGTTGAGGGGGTGATGTTCATAGCACTCTCATACTTGTACTCTTCTAGCTCACTAGCACACTCCATGAGACGCCCAACGCCCCCAATTTCCACCAATTGCTCGGCCCAATTCAAAGCCGTGTAGTGAATATTCCTGGTGAGGAGTTCAATAATCGCATCACGGGCCTCCCCACTTATTGCTTGATTGTTAATCGAGTACACGAGACAAGTCAAAATCATATCAATATCCTTCTTGTGATTTTTCACCAATTCTTGATCAGGTTTAGTATCCGGTTTATTGTCCATCCCTGAGAAAATATTAAGAATTTGTTGGATGCAATACTGCGCCGCGTTGACTTGATTCTCGTTCTTGGAGTCGAGAATTTCAAGAAACCAGGGGATTCCCACGTCTTGCATCACATTTCGGGTTTTCTCGATGGTGTGTTTGCACAGTTCGCCGATTATTCGGATGCCGGTAATACAGATTTCTTGATTCTTCTCAATTTTTAAAAGTTTTTTGATTTGTTGAACGATTGGTGATTTGATCATGAGACTTGAACCGGTGTTTTCTCGTGCAAGGACTAATAAATTGTTCATTGCAGTCTCACGTTTTTCTCTATCGGTGGTTAAATCGAACGCGATTTTTGTCATTGTTTCGATTTTGGTGCTTGTTTGGGCATTTTCACGTACTTTTTCTTGTACTATGCGATAGAGACGTTCTAAAATCGGCTGAATTGTCTTATTATTGGGGTCATCTTTGAATATCTGGGTCGCATCACGATATGCCTCCTCAAATCGTTCTAAACTCTCCAAGGCTTGGCATCTACGAAATAGGGCTTTGGGATCATTTGGGACAATTTCCAAACTCTTGTCACAGTCATTTAGAGCTTCTTCAAACTTGTTTAACTTCAAATAGGCTGCAGCTCGATTTTTGAGGAAAACAGCCAAATCTTTACTTTCAGCCTTTTCCAAATTGATGGCTTTGGTGTAGAGTTTCGCCGCAGAGTCCCAATTGCCGTTTTTGAAAGCTTCATTGCCTTCGTCTTTGTATTTTAAAGCTTCACTACTCATTTTGAGGTTATGTCGCACTTCACTATTCACTTTAATTCAAACTTGTGAAAACGTGCTCCACATGACTTTTATATAAGTTTGGAGTCGAATTTTCTAGGTTTTTCGAGACGTGAGACGGATTTTCTAATTTTAAAACGCTATTTTTGGGATTAGAGATGGAGGCGTGGCGGTGTGACATTTAATGGAATTAAAGGGATTTAAGTGAAATTGAGGACTTGTGTTATTACTAATTGAATCAAATAACCACATTGTTCAAACAAATACAAAATTTATGAGGTGACAATTCAAAAAATTACGATTTTTTACCATTTTTGGTGCGTAAATAAACGCCCACCTTTGTTGTGTTATAGCGGCACCAGTGGCCAAAATTGTAATTAGAACAAAAATTTAAAAAACACCATATTTTATATTATTTTTTTTTCAATTTCCCTCACAAGATCTCAAGGCTTGTTAAATACGTTTTATTTCATTGTTTTTTTTGATAATTAACACAGGTCAGTTATCGGTTTCTGTAAGCAAATGTATATCAAAATATTGCAAAAAAAATTGAATAAAATGAAATTTAATTTTTTCCACTTATCCTCATAAGATTTTTTAATTGCATTTGATTTATTGTAATTTATATTAATTAAGTAATTAAGTGTCGTTTACAGGTTTCTGTAAAGTCAAACGTCACTTTTCAAAAAATACTTAAAACCCCAAATTTCAAATTAGCAATTTTATTTATTTATAAAATTGTTAATTGCGTTTGATTCATGCTGTGTTGTCCGAAAATCGTAATAAATTATTTTTGGCACATTTGTTGATTAGAGATGGGGGCGGAAACTTAATTGAATTTGAGGGAAATTGAAGCCTTAAAACCTCAAATTTTGAATTAGCAATTTAAGTTTTGTCAATTAGCTTCAGAAAATTAATTAATTGCATCTAATTTACGATTGTTATGATTTATAAAAATCATAATTACAGATTTCTGTAATCAGGTGTCAAAGTCAAACGTCACTTGTCAAAATATTGCAAAATAATCATTGTTTTTATTTGAATTTAGTTAGTAAAAGACATAAGAAAATGGTAATTTGTGATGTTATTCCCGGTAATAAGCGTGTTTGTTTGAATTTAATTAAGTTTCAGTTCGGTTTCAACATGTTCCCGGAGATTCCGCGGCCCTTCAACATGATCTACAAGTGTCATTCGGTGGCGATGCTTCCGGGGAATGAAAGACAGGATGTTGAACGTGGGGGCAAAAGTGAGGAAATTTCTAGCGTGTTTGTACTTTTTGAGTAGTGTTTTTTTAGTTATTATGCCGCCCTCAGCTCTCGAACAATTGACTCGACTCAACATCAATTACCCTATGTTATTTAAGCTTACAAATAAAAAAACCAACAGGGTGACTCACTGTGGAGTGCTTGAGTTCGTGGCAGACGAGGGCAAAGTATATTTGCCCCTGTGGATGATGCAAAATATGGTTTTGGAAGAGAGCGATTTGGTCCAAATCGAGAGTGTGTCACTCCCTGTGGGGACATTCTCAAAATTTCAACCTCTTTCGCCTGATTTTCTCGATATCACGAATCCTAAAGCGGTTCTTGAGAACTGTTTGCGCTCATTTGCGTGTCTCACAACCGGCGATGTGATTGCTGTAAAGTACAATCAAAAAATCTACGAGTTGTGTGTTCTTGAGACGAAGCCTGGGAATGCGATTAGTATAATAGAGTGTGACATGAATGTGGAATTTGCCCCTCCTGTGGGGTACAAAGAGCCAGAGAAAGAGAAAAGGGAAGATGAGGAAATGGCGGTGGATCCAGCCGATTTAATGCCGGAACCGATTGGATTTGTGCCCTTCAAGGGCACCGGAAATAGATTAGATGGGAAAAAAAGGAAGGATTCAGCTAGCAGTGATATAATTACGAGTAAACCGGCGTATGTAAGGGGGATTCCCAATTATGATTATGAAATCGGGACTCTAAGGTTTATAAGGAGGAGCACGAAGCCTGAAAAGGAGGATGAAGCTAATAATGAGTTCAGGGCGTTCAGTGGAACTGGATTTAGTATGAAAAAGTGAATTTGAAAGTGTGGAATTGTTGCTTTATTTTATTATTTTCTGTTATTTAAGAGTGAAATAAATTTCTTTTTGTGGTAATAAGTAAATGCTCTAAAAAAAATCAGATTTAAAAATTCAGTAGCTAATAGCGTCGGTGTATTGTTGGTTGCCTAAGCAAGTTAAACTCGAATTTTTTTTTCTATGGGAATTCCAATGTAAATGAGCGTTGAGCGACACTGTAGCACTCTTATTTATAAACTTATCATAATCAAATTTGGCACAGGCAATTTCTAAATTACTAACTACAGTATGACTTTTTAATTAAAAAAAGAGTTATTTTTATAAATAATAAATAACTATTAAAAGCCAACAAAGTTCCATACTGCTTTTAAAGAGCTAGAGAAAAAAGATTGACAGATTTGTAACCAGCGCGTTAAATTCTATGTTCAAAAACAACATTTTTTAAGGGAGGTATCAACAAATTTTAACTTTTTTTATTTTGTAAATTGCGGCAAAATTGTACCTCAATGATATAATATTTTGACGCATATGTAGAATTTTCCGGAGATCGATTGGCGTCAAGAATACTGCAAAATTCGAAATAGTTTAGAAGGTATAGTTGAATTTATATTTTCAATATTTTTGAATTTATCAGCAAAGTTCTTGATAACTATTTGTCGTAGAACATTGATCTTTTTTGTATATGATGGAAAATTAAATTTGCTTTCCGACGGTACCAAACATGAGAGGTTATCACCAATAAGTCCGAAGTTATTGACTATAGATCAAAAATCCAGCAAAATCTCGACAAAAAAAATAACTTTAAAATTGCAAAAAAACAATGCATAAAACGTTATTGGGTCGAGTTTTGTAATCAAAAATTGTTTTTGAGTCAGGCGAAAATTTCATAAATTTCGCAATTTTTCGAATCTTAAAAGTTGTAATATTAATTGACAAGATTAAGTAAAATCGCAAGATTTAATGAAAGACGGTTGACACCGAAAAAAATGTCCTCACATAAATAAATTCGATGTCTGTGTTTCTGCTCGAGCAAAAAAGTTCAAATTATAATTTCTCGTCTTCACTCGTAACCCTATTGTATGATATAAAACAAGTTGCATCGTATAAAAAACAATTTAAGGGTGGGTTTTTTAAATCAAAGATAACTATTGTGTCACCTCTCATACATCTCAGCTTAAAGCATATGTGTTAAAAATATAAAATTAGGTATGTATTTTTTTCCTAAGCGAGTTACGAAAATGATCATCGCCAAAATTTGACTAACCCTTTCTTGAGCATTTTGTTTAACAGAGACCATTTCCATACTTTTCGAGTTATTCACGTTCGAATTTTCCAAATTTGAATTTAATGTTGGTTGTAGTCGGCATACATACGCACACACGTGTTTATGTAGTTGCATAAGTTTTAGGGGTTTGGAATTCGGTTTACAACGAGTGTAATAATTGTACAGAGTGGTTATAAATGATTTTCATCTAGCCAGCTGTGAATTTTCCATGTAAAATAAAAAATGCCGCTTTACGAAAAAGGGGTACCTACTTGTTTTAACTCAAAATTAAAAAAATCGCCGTTTACTAAGCGTCCACTTCGAAAATAGACTTCAATTATAAACTTGTTTTCTTCCAAAGTATACATTATTATCAATTATTATTGGAAATTAGTTGAAACAATAAAAGTTTAATTAACAACAATTTATTATTAATTAATAAGTGACACTAATGACAGAACTAGAGCTTTCAAAAAAGTAGAGCGGCACAAATAAAGTTACATGCAAAAAAATTCCAAAGCTGGCTAGATGAAAATCATTTATAACCACTCTGTACAATGATAGTTAGATATTTTTATCGAACATCATTTCTTACGGAACTACTCAATATCTTAATCTTTCTTTCAAAAAAAATACAAATTTTTGGAGTTTTTTGAAAGTCTAGAAAATTGTTTCAAAGTGATTTTTAAGAAATTAAATTGTCAGATTTTTTTTAACATTCCTGTAGTTTGATTGGTATTGTTGATTGCGGGTTTAAATAACGACATGAGTCTTTACAGGCCATTTTTGTTTACTTTACAGACTTTTAAAAAATCTGTAAAATTACACGTTCATTTTTTTATTGTAATATGTTAATTTTGATTTATTTTTTATGTATTTTTAATTTTCGCAGTTGCACTATATTTCATTAATGTTTGTTTTTTATTATAAAATAGCATTTCTGTTGAAAATTTGTTGAAGTCACTACTTTATAAATTAATTTTAATTAATAATGAATTAATTTATTAATTTACAACACGTCGGCTACATTTTTATTAAACATTTAATTCAATACCTATGAAATTTGCAAAAATATGACTAACAAATGACCCTGCGATAAAATCAACTTATTAAAAAATTGCCAAGTTACGAATTAATTCCAATTAAACACAATATTAAATAAAGAACAAGTTATGAGAATTGTGTTTACATTTGCGCTTTTGCTGCTTTTATAATTAACAATGCGATGTAGAAAAAGCGGTTTTTGTGTTGCTAGAAAAGCGATTAATCCTTGATGATTAATCTCGAATGTGATGCGTGCCCTTTTGATTAATTAAAATTACAAATTAAATCGCGTACTTATTGCAAATGTCAATTCATCGTAGCAACTAAATCGACTGATTGATTGATTGAGTGATTGATTTGTTGATCGTAGGAAAAACGAATAATTAAAATTTATATTACCTTCTCATTTTTTAATTAATTAATTCTTATTCGCTCGACTCGAAAAAGCCTCTAATGTCCCCTAATATAAACTATTAAGAAAAGTGGTAGTATTTTTGCCTACGACGAGACAATAACCGACCACCTGCCGTTCTGAGGATGCAACCTCCTGCGGTGACCGTACTAAATCATTTCAAAAACAAAAATTTTCTCAATCGATCTTTATGCGTCTTGACCCAATTCCCCTCGAAATTACGAAAAAATTCCGCCATAGAAATGTCGTTTTTGGACACCAACAAGCGAAAGAAGAGAGGAAAAAATACCGCAACGATCGTGAGATCGATGATTGTGGTACGGTTCGTTAACTTTCGCCCACGAGCGGATCTTTTACAGGGATTAGGACAAAATACAACAAGTGGAAGACGTGAGCGCTTCATGGCTATTGTCTGTCATGCTGCGCTCTGGGTTGAAAAACACCTTCAAAACTAAGACTAATAAGTGGCATGTGACTTGAAGTTAAGTTGGCTAAAGTGACTGTAAATGACAAAAAATCTGTTGGCAACACTGGATTATTGGTAATTCTTTTAGTCTGTGTCCTTCAAAAACGAATAACAATTGACTATAAAATTGTGACATTTTTTGATAGTCAATGTTGCCAAATTAACATTTTAAATTTGTTGCCAACGTGTTGACGAAAATCATAGTCATTGATAGTCACTCGGTGGATAATTTGAAATATGGAAATTTTCATTAGTCGGGTGAATTTTTGCCAGATCTGGTGATGTTCATGCTGGGAAAAAATTTTGTAAAAATTCTAATATCAGAAATTTTTTTCGACAAAAAATTAACTACATTACACTAGTTTTTCAATTATTGTAATAGTAAACTAAATCATAAATAAAAAAAAATTAAAAATGCAACAAATTGGTTAAAAATGGTTTCATTTCTTTTTTAAGAGATTTTACTAAAGAGGGTCGAAAATAACAATTTACTTTTGCCTTTTTTTTAATGCTTTTTCGGTTAGAAACACGAAAATTTTGTTAAAAACAAGCCAGAAATTCAGTGATATGAGCCAAAAATTATGTTATTTATTTTTTTTCGAGTGTTTCTGAAGTAAATATAAAAAAAATCGTAAAATTTTGTTTAAGCAAACTAAAAAATTACAAAATTAGTCTAAATTATCTACTGTTTATTTTTTATCAACTAGTTTCAGTAGATAAAATAGTCTTTTATCGTCTAGTGAAATAAAGTAATTTTACTGTTAATATTCAAGAAATTCTGGTCGGTGAGTACAAAATAGAACGAGATATTAAACTTAACCTTTTCACTGGTATAGATAAACAATTTCTTTATAGTCTTATATAATAAATAACTATTATTTTTTATTTTTAAAGTACGTTTTTCAGTTTGAAACGCAACTATTTTGCAAAATTTCGGGAAAAACAAACAAAAAATTTAATAAAAAAGGTCAAAACGATGTCATTTTGCCTTTTGTCTTTTTTTTTGAGGCAAAAACAATAAAATTTCAAAAAATTAGCTTAATTTAGACAAAAAAATTATAAAGTTAAATAGAAATTGATAATTTTTTGTTTTTCTCGTCATACTTTTTTTTGAACCAGAGGCTTATTTATTTGGTAAAATTTTATCCAAACACTTCTAACAAACATAAAAATTGAAATTGATTTATTTTGTTTGTTTCACTCGATTTTGTTGGTTTTTGAAGCAAAATTCAGCCAAGAATAATTCGAGAAAAAAACACAAAATTTTTAACTATGTTTTTGTACTAAAATTTCAGGTTTTTCGCTAGATTTTGTTGACACAAAACCAAAAAAATTACAATTTAAGTTGGAAATTATATATTTTTTTAATTTTTGAGCGTTTTAGCACATTTTAGCAGAAACGCAATTAATTCGTTAAAAATCAGACAAAAAGGTTAACAAAATAAACTTAAAATAGTGTTATTTTTGAGTTTTACGAGTGTTTAAGCCCGTTTTTAAGACTAAAAACGAAAAATTTTGAAAAATTTTGTTTAAACAGACTAAAAAATTCCAAAATTAATCGAAATTGATATTGTTTTTAGCTTGTTTTGCACGACTTACTTCGTTTTTGAACTAAAAGCTCACGAAAGTAAGTCGAGAAAACGTAAAGTTTGATCGAAAAAGCTTTTAAGCAAGTTTTTGTAATAAAATCTCAGGTTTTTGCTAAAACAAACCAAAAAAATCAATAAATTAAGGCGGAAATTAGATAATTTTTACATTTTTTAAGTTGTTTTAGCAAATTTTTTATTAATTTATTAAAATTATATGATTTTTGCATTGTTTTTCGACCCTTTTAGTGGCCAAAAAAGCAATTATTTCTCAAAAAAAAAACCGAAAAATAATAAAATCATGCC